TTGATTGACCATTAGGATACAAAATCTCGACAAAAAAAAATTTGAAATTTCATGGTTGTAGTAAGAAGGTACCCCCCTTATGATTTTTTTGGAAAACTTTGAAAGGTCATAACTTTTTTTCTATTATAGATAGAAAGCTGAATCTTTCACTGAATTTCATCATTTTCAAAGGACTACAATCCCTGAAAAATTCAGCTCATTTGCACCTATAGTTCCTGAGATAAAATCGTGTTAAGCAATTTGGGGTGATTTATCAATTTTTCAATTTTTCTGAGTGCCTTTTTTCATAGATTTCGGCTTCAAATCTGAGAATAATTTTATGTATGGAGTTTGGGGTATATTGATTGACCATTAGGATACAAAATCTCGACAAAAAAAAATTTGAAATTTCATGGTTGTAGTAAGAAGGTACCCCCCTTATGATTTTTTTGGAAAACTTTGAAAGGTCATAACTTTTTTTCTATTATAGATAGAAAGCTGAATCTTTCACTGAATTTTATCTTTTTGAAAGGACTACAATCCCTGAAAAATTCAGCTCATTTGCACCTATAGTTCCTGAGATAAAATCGTGTTAAGCAATTTGGGGTGATTTATCAATTTTTCAATTATTCTGAGTGCCTTTTTTCATAGATTTCGGCTTCAAATCTGAGAATAATTTAGTTTATGGAGTTCAGGGTATCACGAGGAACCATTAGGACACAAAATCTCGACAAAAAAAAATTTGAAATTTCATGGTTTTAGTAAGAAGGTACCCCCCTTATGATTTTTTTGGAAAACTTTGAAAGGTCATAACTTTTTTTCTATTATAGATAGAAAGCTGAATCTTTCACTGAATTTCATAATTTTCAAAGGACTACAATCCCTGAAAAATTCAGCTCATTTGCACCTATAGTTCCTGAGATAAAATCGTGTTAAGCAATTTGGGGTGATTTATCAATTTTTCAATTTTTCTGAGTGCCTTTTTTCATAGATTTCGGCTTCAAATCTGAGAATAATTTTATGTATGGAGTTTGGGGTATATTGATTGACCATTAGGATACAAAATCTCGACAAAAAAAAATTTGAAATTTCATGGTTGTAGTAAGAAGGTACCCCCCTTATGATTTTTTTGGAAAACTTTGAAAGGTCATAACTTTTTTTCTATTATAGATAGAAAGCTGAATCTTTCACTGAATTTTATCTTTTTGAAAGGACTACAATCCCTGAAAAATTCAGCTCATTTGCACCTATAGTTCCTGAGATAAAATCGTGTTAAGCAATTTGGGGTGATTTATCAATTTTTCAATTTTTCTGAGTGCCTTTTTTCATAGATTTCGGCTTCAAATCTGAGAATAATTTTATGTATGGAGTTTGGGGTATATTGATTGACCATTAGGATACAAAATCTCGACAAAAAAAAATTTGAAATTTCATGGTTGTAGTAAGAAGGTACCCCCCTTATGATTTTTTTGGAAAACTTTGAAAGGTCATAACTTTTTTTCTATTATAGATAGAAAGCTGAATCTTTCACTGAATTTTATCTTTTTGAAAGGACTACAATCCCTGAAAAATTCAGCTCATTTGCACCTATAGTTCCTGAGATAAAATCGTGTTAAGCAATTTGGGGTGATTTATCAATTTTTCAATTTTTCTGAGTGCCTTTTTTCATAGATTTCGGCTTCAAATCTGAGAATAATTTTATGTATGGAGTTTGGGGTATATTGATTGACCATTAGGATACAAAATCTCGACAAAAAAAAATTTGAAATTTCATGGTTGTAGTAAGAAGGTACCCCCCTTATGATTTTTTTGGAAAACTTTGAAAGGTCATAACTTTTTTTCTATTATAGATAGAAAGCTGAATCTTTCACTGAATTTCATCATTTTCAAAGGACTACAATCCCTGAAAAATTCAGCTCATTTGCACCTATAGTTCCTGAGATAAAATCGTGTTAAGCAATTTGGGGTGATTTATCAATTTTTCAATTTTTCTGAGTGCCTTTTTTCATAGATTTCGGCTTCAAATCTGAGAATAATTTTATGTATGGAGTTTGGGGTATATTGATTGACCATTAGGATACAAAATCTCGACAAAAAAAAATTTGAAATTTCATGGTTGTAGTAAGAAGGTACCCCCCTTATGATTTTTTTGGAAAACTTTGAAAGGTCATAACTTTTTTTCTATTATAGATAGAAAGCTGAATCTTTCACTGAATTTTATCTTTTTGAAAGGACTACAATCCCTGAAAAATTCAGCTCATTTGCACCTATAGTTCCTGAGATAAAATCGTGTTAAGCAATTTGGGGTGATTTATCAATTTTTCAATTTTTCTGAGTGCCTTTTTTCATAGATTTCGGCTTCAAATCTGAGAATAATTTTATGTATGGAGTTTGGGGTATATTGATTGACCATTAGGATACAAAATCTCGACAAAAAAAAATTTGAAATTTCATGGTTGTAGTAAGAAGGTACCCCCCTTATGATTTTTTTTGGAAAACTTTGAAAGGTCATAACTTTTTTTCTATTATAGATAGAAAGCTGAATCTTTCACTGAATTTCATCATTTTCAAAGGACTACAATCCCTGAAAAATTCAGCTCATTTGCACCTATAGTTCCTGAGATAAAATCGTGTTAAGCAATTTGGGGTGATTTATCAATTTTTCAATTTTTCTGAGTGCCTTTTTTCATAGATTTCGGCTTCAAATCTGAGAATAATTTTATGTATGGAGTTTGGGGTATATTGATTGACCATTAGGATACAAAATCTCGACAAAAAAAAATTTGAAATTTCATGGTTGTAGTAAGAAGGTACCCCCCTTATGATTTTTTTGGAAAACTTTGAAAGGTCATAACTTTTTTTCTATTATAGATAGAAAGCTGAATCTTTCACTGAATTTCATCATTTTCAAAGGACTACAATCCCTGAAAAATTCAGCTCATTTGCACCTATAGTTCCTGAGATAAAATCGTGTTAAGCAATTTGGGGTGATTTATCAATTTTTCAATTTTTCTGAGTGCCTTTTTTCATAGATTTCGGCTTCAAATCTGAGAATAATTTTATGTATGGAGTTTGGGGTATATTGATTGACCATTAGGATACAAAATCTCGACAAAAAAAAATTTGAAATTTCATGGTTGTAGTAAGAAGGTACCCCCCTTATGATTTTTTTGGAAAACTTTGAAAGGTCATAACTTTTTTTCTATTATAGATAGAAAGCTGAATCTTTCACTGAATTTTATCTTTTTGAAAGGACTACAATCCCTGAAAAATTCAGCTCATTTGCACCTATAGTTCCTGAGATAAAACCGTGTTAAGGAATTTGGGGTGATTTATCAATTTTTCAATTTTTCTGAGTGCCTTTTTTCATAGATTTCGGCTTCAAATCTGAGAATAATTTTATGTATGGAGTTTGGGGTATATTGATTGACCATTAGGATACAAAATCTCGACAAAAAAAAATTTGAAATTTCATGGTTGTAGTAAGAAGGTACCCCCCTTATGATTTTTTTGGAAAACTTTGAAAGGTCATAACTTTTTTTCTATTATAGATAGAAAGCTGAATCTTTCACTGAATTTCATCATTTTCAAAGGACTACAATCCCTGAAAAATTCAGCTCATTTGCACCTATAGTTCCTGAGATAAAATCGTGTTAAGCAATTTGGGGTGATTTATCAATTTTTCAATTTTTCTGAGTGCCTTTTTTCATAGATTTCGGCTTCAAATCTGAGAATAATTTTATGTATGGAGTTTGGGGTATATTGATTGACCATTAGGATACAAAATCTCGACAAAAAAAAATTTGAAATTTCATGGTTGTAGTAAGAAGGTACCCCCCTTATGATTTTTTTGGAAAACTTTGAAAGGTCATAACTTTTTTTCTATTATAGATAGAAAGCTGAATCTTTCACTGAATTTTATCTTTTTGAAAGGACGACTACAATCCCTGAAAAATTCAGCTCATTTGCACCTATAGTTCCTGAGATAAAATCGTGTTAAGCAATTTGGGGTGATTTATCAATTTTTCAATTTTTCTGAGTGCCTTTTTTCATAGATTTCGGCTTCAAATCTGAGAATAATTTTATGTATGGAGTTTGGGGTATATTGATTGACCATTAGGATACAAAATCTCGACAAAAAAAAATTTGAAATTTCATGGTTGTAGTAAGAAGGTACCCCCCTTATGATTTTTTTGGAAAACTTTGAAAGGTCATAACTTTTTTTCTATTATAGATAGAAAGCTGAATCTTTCACTGAATTTCATCATTTTCAAAGGACTACAATCCCTGAAAAATTCAGCTCATTTGCACCTATAGTTCCTGAGATAAAATCGTGTTAAGGAATTTGGGGTGATTTATCAATTTTTCAATTTTTCTGAGTGCCTTTTCTCATAGATTTCGGCTTCAAATCTGAGAATAATTTTATGTATGGAGTTTGGGGTATGTTGATTGACCATTAGGATACAAAATCTCGACAAAAAAAAATTTGAAATTTCATGGTTGTAGTAAGAAGGTACCCCCCTTATGATTTTTTTGGAAAACTTTGAAAGGTCATAACTTTTTTTCTATTATAGATAGAAAGCTGAATCTTTCACTGAATTTTATCTTTTTGAAAGGACTACAATCCCTGAAAAATTCAGCTCATTTGCACCTATAGTTCCTGAGATAAAATCGTGTTAAGGAATTTGGGGTGATTTATCATTTTTTCAATTTTTCTGAGTGCCTTTTCTCATAGATTTCGGCTTCAAATCTGAGAATAATTTTATGTATGGAGTTTGGGGTATGTTGATTGACCATTAGGATACAAAATCTCGACAAAAAAAAATTTGAAATTTCATGGTTTTAGTAAGAAGGTAACCCCCTTATGATTATAGATAAAAAGCTGACATTTTCAGGCATTCGTATCCCAGTAGAGAACTACAATTCCTGGAAATTTCAGCTCAGTTCCAGAAATAAAATCGCGTCAAACAATTCGGAGTGTAATTATCAATTTTTCAATTCAAATTTAAATTATTCCTTACGTTTACATTCATTAGCGTTCTGTATCGTAGCCCTTGCCCAAGGTGCGTCATTATAAAAGGGCAAACACTCCCCGCAATCGGGTCCGGCGGTGTTGTGCTCGCATCTACAAACTCGCGTGCGAGTTCCTGCGCTGCTGCTGCTTTCCAGGCACTCGGACGCGTGTCCGTTACACTTGCACCTCGCTCCGACGGATACATCTGCGATGGCGTAAAAATAGGAACGCAGCACTTGAGGATCTCCGAACACTTCGTCTCCGAATGTGTTGATGCGGTCCAGAGTGATCATGAGCTCTGTTGCGGTTACCCATTCCTGTGGATAAGTATTAGATATAATATGGATATCAATATTATTAGTACCTAAATAATATAATAATTTAATATTAGATAGTTATAAAGGCAAAACTTAAACTTATTTGTATTCAATTTGGTGTCACTTGTTTATCAAAACATCATTAAAATTCAGAGTGTTAATGTAAACACGTTTCGAGGTTTTCCTATGTATGATTACGTTTATTTGATTTTGCCAAGTTAGTAATTTAAAATAGGTACTTAGTTCAGTTTAGCTCAGAGGGCTCAGAATACTTAAAAATTACATTAGTTAATAATTTTTCAACAGGGGTTTTTATCGATACTTTCTTCTCTGTACACCTTCACCAATCTACCTGCAATTCCGCGCTGGTATCGAAACTGTAAGCCGAAGGTCGACCTTCCAAGGTACTGAAAGCGACATTGCCGCCGCGCAGCGGTGAAATATCTGAGTACTCCGAAGTACAAAGTGCCCGAGTCTCTTCGCCCCATTTGGTGTGCGTGGAATCCGGCAGTCCGTAAGTGTCCCGACAGGTGGCACTGCAAATATGGTACTACAATTTTCTGATAGGTACTAGACAATGGGGTTTTACCTATAGTATTGATACGGCATCCATTCGCCGCCGGCTATCACTTTTCTCGATATGTAGAAGCTTTCAGGCCTGGGCGAGTTGAACCATAAACGGACGTAGGTGATATCAAATGCCTTTCCTGTAAAAAAAGTTGTTGAATTAAACAATGACCAGGAATCGATATCATTTTCTTAGAATCGTTTATGTTAGTGCTGAAACTTTTAAAACGTAGTCACAGGCGGAGAACAGTTTTCATTTGCTTTAAAAGGAAGTCGTAGCAAAAAGGCCGTACCATATAGAGGGGCCCAGAATAAAAGATTCGTGCAAAGATGAAAAGGGTATTTGTTCTGTTCTAGAACGATTCAAGCATACCTATACAAACCAATCACAATGGACATTATGTTCAAGATCAAAATCAAATCAATACTTACTAAAATTCAAAGTGATATTCACTTGATTCGGCCACTGGATGCCTTCGTGCATCGTTTCCGATTGCCACCACGTGAGATTATCCACATTATGAAAATCCGTCATAAATGAAGCATGATGCGTTCCAGCGGTGCAAATTTCGCAGGATTTTCTCACTCCAGCTATGCCAGTTTGAACGCAAAAAACTTGATCACCTGCTTCGCCGCAAGTATTGGTCACGTCCATCTCCAATTTGAAGGCTGCGTTTTCGAATTCGGGAATACATCTCTGAAAAATATAATATGAACAAAGAAGTACTCGTTCTTGTATTTGCATTCCATGTTCGCCGAGCCAACGAGACCGCATGGTGCGCTCAAGAGAATGTTGAATGGCCAGTTTATTATGCCTACATTACGTTTCGCATTGGTTTAATTAATGAAAAATCATAATCTATATCTATTGCACTTTTAACGTCTTTCTGCAAGAGTTTTGCTATAGTAAATTAGAGTTGCTGAAAATAATTCTTGAGAGAGTTCAAACAAAAAGTAGTCAACTAAAAAATCGTGGGCGTGTGAAAAGTTTTCCCAACAGAATGGAGGCTTTCGCATACATAAAATATCGACGGATGCATCAATAAATAATGCAACAGGTTGTTGAGTACCTATGTTTGCGATATTCATTCATTTTGATTCCAGGTATAGTAAGAAAAGTCTATGAAGAAAACAATAATTTTCGCACAATAGCTAAAACCATATAAACGGTATTATTATGGGTTTCAATCACGAAGTTTACGAATTCTTTGTATAAACACAAACACGACTGATTCAAAATGATTTATGGGCCCCAAGAAATGGGGCTTAAAGTTCACCAACCCATAGGTATCAACATTCTATTTCTATTTGAATAATTGAAATAATAAGACTGAGTAAGTGCTTACCTGTGGTCTTCTGAATTGATCATAACACTCGTTTTTCTCCTTACTTCCTAGCTTAGGCGTTTGTTCGTATTCGTGCTGACCGCTTACCACAGCACAAAATAAAGTCGCGAATATAATCCAAGTCCACATATTTTTTGCGTAAATCGTATTTTAGTTCAAGTCAGCATTATTTTTTCTTGTAATCTAAGTATAAATATCATTTTAATGATCTATATTTAAATTCCTATATGGACATTGTTGATTTTCTAATTTACGCAGGATGATATTTGATTTAAATTAGAGCCAAAAATCAAAATTTAATGAATTTTTGAAACAATATTTTAAAATTAGGCAATTTTTTTATAAGTTACCTCCTAAAATATGTAGGTACCACCAACCAATTCGTAGGTATCATCAAAATCGCAATAAGTGAACATTTTTGGCACAAAATTTCAAGGCATTTAACCTTTTTCCGTACACTATTTTCGGCCTAAGCCTCATATGCGTCCCTTTTGCTTTTGCTAAGCCACCAGTGTCGTATGTCGCGTCTTGAGATAAACTAAAAAGTAAAAAGTAGACGAGAACGAGATGATGACGAGAGCCCGTAAAGCCGGTCAAATGCAAGAACGGCGTGTGAGATCCAGATGCGGTGCATGCGAGAATGAACACTCTGCGATCGGAGATTAGAATTTGGTATCTTTTTTTTTTTTTTTGCGAAAATCTATAGGGGTACCATAACAGTGGCGTAGGGGATTGTACCGTTCCCTCTTCTGAAACTACAAAGATATATCCCAGGAATATTTAGAATTTTATCAAAATCCAATTCCAAATAAATACATATAGGTACATTTACCGATCTTTTGTTCAGCCTTCTTAAAGTTAGGCTTTAATCAAAATTTTGTCCAAAACTTCAAAATAATTTTCCAGAGATGTTACGATTTCTGTATCACCTCATGTTCATTAAGTTAACTGTATAGCATACATCCGTTTTGTGATAACCAACTGTCGGTTTAAAGTGATAAGCATTAAATTTTAACGGCATTGACCTTCCTTAACCAACCCCCGTCTCGTCCTGGAAATAAATAAATAAATAATCAAAATTCCGATAAGGCAATGTCATCGAACCAGACTGTAGTATCTATCATGTACTAGGTACTGAGCTAGTGTTGCCAGGTCATATTTTGTTTTGTCAGTAGATTACCAGTCTAAATATCAGTAGAAAGATAAGTTGCCTTGTTAAAGAGGTAAACCATTAAGGTATACTGAATTAATTATTTTAATTACGTTTTTTCAAATCATTTAAATCATTAGACTGTGTATTAGACTATGAAAACTTGCATTAGAAAATCAACACCAATACTACATATGAAAAATAGTTTATTAAAATTAAGACACATGAGATATTCCTGTTAAATATGCACTACCTATGAGATGCCCTACATTTGGTTCTATATTCTTGAAGAGTACAATTTTCCGATTCCAAAACTATATACTTTGTCTATATTTGGTTGAGCCGGCTCCAAACAAAAATTGTGAAATTGTGAAAATACCATCAGAGAAACCAAGTACCTACCTCAAATTTTAGTTAGTTTAGTAAAATGGTTCAAAAAATCAATAGTAGGATAGTATTTTTACAATTTTTGGAGCCGAATATATGAGAAACTGTTCAATCAAATATAGACAAACTATATATTTTTAGAATCGGAGCATTGTGCTCTTCAAGAATATAGAATGAAATATAGGACATCCCATTTGAAAAAAGCTGGAAACATGCAAAATTTCACATTTCTGACATAAAATTTTGTTTCTGACCATGGTTTCTAAAAATTCAGCCAAAACTGTACAACTTTTGTATTTACACCTTTTTCTACCTGTCAAGATAAAGGAGGTAGGTGAAGTGTCAATATATAAAAAAACACCCTGTACAAAAAAGTGGATTATTGCGGAACTTATGGGTGAACCTTTGCGGGACGAGCGCAGCGAGTTCCACAGCCATCTACTCACCAATATACTGGTTGACCTGTTCAAAAAAAACACTCACCTGAAACATGTAGTTTTTGAACTAATGAGAAAAATTCATAACTGAGGGAATCAGGTCAGTACTGTATTTGAACAACTGGGTGCCCATGAGATCACTTTCCGGCTGCCATTTTTTCATTTGTCTATCCATGTCAACGAAACTTGGTAAGGTTGATATTATAACCAAACGCCATTTTTATGCATTCATAACAAATTTTCCTGACTTCCGATTTCACCGGAAATGACCGGAACTTTTTATTTTTAAATGGCACACCCTGTATATTTTTTGTTTTTCGGATTCTTCAGATCGTATTACGTCCTAATGCACCACTTTTGAATCGAGTTTTGCCCAAATTTTGTTTTTAAAGTAAATTTTAATTTTTTAACTAGAGTGCCATGATCATCCTAAAATGATTCTACATACTTTAGATACTTAATTTCAGAAAAATACAAACTCAATTTTATCTTGGTAGACTTTTTTGATAGTGGGCTGTAAACTTCATTATTTTGGTATTTTTGCTGAAAACAAAAAATTTACAGGGTGTGCCATTTGAAAATCGAAAGTTTTGGTGCTTTCCGGTGAAACCGGAAGTGAGGAAAACTTGTCGTGGATGCACAAAAATGGCGTTTTGTTAGAATATCAAGCCTTTCAAGTTTCGTTGATATCGATGAACAAATAAAAAAATGGCAGCCGGAAAGTAATCTTGTGGGCACCCGGTATTGGTGAATAGATGGCTGGATCCACCCATAAGTTCCACAACAATCCACTCGTTGGTACTTGAATAACTTGTCACAATATATTAGTAGTTTGGTAAAGTAACATTACTAATTCCTGTTGAAAGGCGAATTGACAAAAAGTGGATAATCTTATAAATTCTGACTTTATATAATAAGTTAATTTTCAAGTACAAATAAGTGGATTATTGCGGAACTTATGGGTGGACCTCTGCGGGACGAGCGCAGCGAGTTCCGCAGCCATCTACTCACCATTATACTGTTGAATTGTTCAACTAAGACATTCACCTGAAACATGTAGTTTTTAAACTAATGAGAATAACTCACATTTGAATGAGTCAGGTTAGTATCGTAATTAAACAACATATTGATGAATAGATTGCTGCGGAACTCGCTGCGCTCGTCCCGCAGAGGTCCACCCATATAAGGTCCGCAACAATTCACTAATTTGTACTTGAATAGTTTGTCACAATATATTACTAGTTTGGTAAAGTAACATTACTAATTCCTGTTGAAAGGCGAATTGACAAAAAGTGGATAATTTTACAAATTCTGACTTTATATAATAAGTTAATTTTAAGGTACAAATAAGTGGATTGTTGCGGAACTTATGGGTGGACCTCATCTATTCACCAATATACTGCCGAACTGTTCAAGTAAGACATTCACCTGAACCATGTAGTTTTTAAACTAATGAGAATAACTCACATTTGAATGAGTCAGGTTAGTATCGTAATTAAACAACATATTGATGAATAGATGGCTGAGGTCCACCCATATAAGGTCCGCAACAATTCACTCATTTCTACTTGAATAATTTGTCACAATATATTACTAGTTTGGTAAAGTAACATTACTAATTCCTGTTGAAAGGCGAATTGACAAAAAGTGGATTACCTTACAAATTCTGACTTTATATAATAAGTTATTTTTCAACTTTTCAAGTACAAATAAGTGAATTGTTGCGGAACTTATGGTTGGACCTCTGCGGGACGAGCGCAGCGAGTTCCGCAGCCATCTACTCACCAATATACTGCCGAACTGTTCAAATAAGACATTCACCTGAACCATGTAGTTTTTAAACTAATGAGAATAACTCACATTTGAGTGAGTCAGGTTAATATCGTAATTAAATAACATATTGATGAATAGATGGTTGCGGAACTCGCTGCGCTCGTCCCGCAGAGGCCCACCCATATAAGGTCCGCAACAATTCACTCATTTGTACTTGAATAATTTGTTACAATATATTACTAGTTTGGTAAAATAACATTACTCATTCCTGTTGAAAGGCGAATTGACAAAAAGTGTATAATCTCACAAATTCTGACTTTATATAATAAGTTATTGTTCAAGTACAGAGTGTTTTTTATATTTTGACTCCCCACCTACAGCCTTCACCTTTACAAGTAGATGAAAGGTGTAAATATAAAAGTTGTACAGTTTTGGTTGAATTTTTAGAAACCATGGTCAGACACCAAAATTGAATGTCAGAAATGTTGCATGTTTACAGCTTTTTTCAAAATGAAAGTCCCATAGGCATGTTACGAGTAGAATTTTAAATTTTATACCCTCCGATCAATGAAGAAGACGCTTTAATCACGACCCAGAATCTAATATATTGATTTAAAGAACAAAGAAACTATTTAATTTATAAACATATTTAATTATAATAACATCCAACACATAAAGCTCTAATAAGCAAACTATTCCGTATTGCTTCTACTACTGTTGTCTAAACGTAAGTCATCATTTTCATCGACTCTGCAATCAGTTTTTTCCATTTGCAAATGAAATGGCGCTTTCAAAATGGTATCAACACTGTTGTCGTCTTTCATCTCTGTGTCTTCGGAAGTCGATTTATCTGATGTATCGCCTGTTTCCAACTTCAAAGGTGTTGAAGATTCATCAAAATCTTTTATCGCATCTAGATACATTTGTTTTTCCTTGTCAGCTTTTTCCAAGTCGCTCCCAAAATGAATGATGACGTCTTCATCTATGGCTGTGGCTTGTTTTCTAAGGACACATTTCACTTTTGGTCGGAAAGTGATTTTCTCTTCGTCACTGCTAGAGCTGCTACTTGCAAAATCTTTATCTTTGAATACAAATTTCCGCTTAACTTCAGACTTATTCACTGGTTGCTTATAATTTTCCAAATTTTTCGATTCCACATTTTCATCGCTATATGTTTTACTTATTGTTATCACTGGAATAGCATCTGTGGAATCCTGCCTTTGATCTTTTCTAGTTAGAGGTGGGCTTGGTTCGAAAGCGTCTTCATCCAATTCAATTATGGGTTTTTTGGGTTTGGTTTTCATACGCTTATGCGACTTTCTTGGTTGTTCTTCTATTACTTTAATGTCTTCAAATACTCCCGCTTTTTTGGCTTCAATTACTTTTTGCAGGAAAACGTTTTCTTCTTTACCACGTTTATGATACTTGGTTGCTTCTGTAGTGGATTCTTCCTGATTTTTAGACTTTTTTGTGTGTTTTTTTATCTTATAATCTTCCAACTCTATGGCTTCATTTGATAAATCTTCATTTTTCTTGTCTAAAAAAATGTGGGTATTATCATTATTGAAGCAACACTAAAAAACCGTATAAGTACCTCTATTGCTATTTCTCCTCAAAGACCATTTGCTTACTATACTTTTTATAGCAAGCTCTGTACTGTCCCCTGATTTGTGCTCTTTAGTGTTATCGTAAGGTAAAGGCTCGTGTTGGTCAGTATCAGTACCATCTTGTTCGTCACTGGACGTTGAAGACTTTCCCAATACTTGCTTGATTAATTTTGTGAAAAATACTGCAAACAAAATTGAATCAATTTATAAAAACCCCCATTACCATTATTACCTTTCCCTTTATTTTCTACTTTCTCGTCTTCTTCTTCCTCTTCGTCCGCACGTTGACTAGGCGCAATATCTTCAGATTCCTGGCGTGTGTCTTCGCAACTTTTAGTACTCGGTAAGTTACCCAGTAATTTTTTCCATTTCGAAAACGGCGTTTGATCAGCTGATTCACCCGAACCGCCGCGTCTACGACGATCTGCCAGTTGGAACAGTTTTCTGCGTTCTTCTGTACGTTCTCGACGTAACTGAGTCTAAAAAAAAACAATAATTCAGATACCTCAAACACTAAACAGAAAATATTTACCTTCAAATCAACATTGGCCTCTCTGAGTGCACCAGTCAAAGAAATCAAATAATAAATAATTAAAACTAGCAATAGTAGAAGCGGAATCACTATTCCTGGTGACGCGATGTAGTCTAAAGCCCTAAAAAAATCAAACACTGAACGAATTGACTAAATTACTAATTCAATGTGTGGTGGGTAGTTACCGGTGCATGGAATTTGGAGTGTTGGCTCTAATGGTTTTAGTGAAAATGTGAAATATTTTCTGATATCCTGAAAAAGGACCGCAATGCCAAGAAGGCTCGATCCATACCACAGCGTATCCTACAGGCAGGACGCAGAGGAAAAGCATCATGAGCAGTAGAGCGTAATAGAAATTGTTCGATCTAAAATAATTATTGGAAGTTGAGGATTATCACGAGACCAATTTAACATGTTAGGGAAGTTAGCAACACTTTGGAAGCAGGATCGCTGAAGCATGTTCCTGCTTACGCTGCTATGGTCCTGCCTCATCCTGCTTCAAATCTGACCCCGGCAACACGTACTATTTTCGAGATGCAGCGATTTTTATTGTGGTTGCTAATAGTAGAGTGCTCCTTATAATATATTTTGACTTTTGTGGGCGCGTCGGAGTTACAAACTGAAATTTCCACAGAATGAAGGTTTTATTATGTTAATTCAAAATCCCAAGGTAATACAAAATCAGAACGGGCAAAAGGGCACTATATTTAAAAATTGAGAATCCTCTTTTTGGCTCTGGAAAATTTTCAAAATCTTGACATGGTCATGAACAATTGCCCATATCTTTGGTAAATTTTAAGTAAATTGAAATATATTATACATCATTGGAAAGAACATTAAATTCTCTATAAATCTGTGTAAAATTGAGTTCAATAGCTCCAATAGTTTTTGAGCAATTGAGCCTCAAAGTTGACTTTTAGTTCAAATTTTGTCAAAAACTTCAAACTCAATTTGCTTAAAAACTATTAATCTGGAAATATTTTAAATTGCAGGCCATTTAGAACTTGGTAAAAGCTACAAATTCTGGAAATTTTATTGCAATTTGCTCAACGGTTACCGAGCAATTGAGGTTTGAATATTTTGAAATCAGAATTCAAAGGGGATACCCTCATGAAAAATTCGATTTTTCTATTTTTCAGTTTTGCTCAATTTTGACTTTATGATTCGATAGAGCGGATCAAAATTAATGGAAAACAACCCTGATATTAATTTCAAATGGCCATTCTAAGCAGACACAAAAATAAAAATAAAATCCTATTTTTGGCTCAGGAAAATTTTCAAAATTCTGACATGGTCATGAACAATTGCCCATATCTTTGGTAAATTTTAAGCAAATTGAAATAAATTATACATCATTGGAAAGAGCATTAAATTTTCTATAAATCTGTGCAAAATTAAGTTCAATAGCTCGAATGGTTTTTGAGCAATTGAGCCTCAAAGTTGACTTTTAGTCCAAATTTTGGTCCAAAAAAAGGGTGAAGTTAACAACCAAAATAAAAACCGCTGTATGTGGAAAATAATACGGGCTACCGGAGCCAGATTTGAAACAGGATGAGGCAGGACCATAGCAGCACAAGCAGGAACATGTTTTAGCGATCCTGCTTTGCGGTTTGAAGCAGGAAAAAGCAGAAGTTGCTAGCTTCCCCGACATCAACTCAATTAATTATTACCTTGATGCTCTGAAAATAATTTCGTGTGGTACATTACACGTAAGAACGGCCCAGGCGCGCAAGTACATCATTAGATAGAGTTTGATCACATTTAATACTACCAAACCTGGTGAGAAGAACATTCCCATCCAAACCATGCCTTGATTGTTTACTGAAATAGATTAAAACTTACTTTGAAGGATAATGAAGCAAATTATTCGAACTTAAAACGAGGACATTATGCAAATATTTTTTAAATATTAATATAATATGCGATATTTTCTTTGCCAGCGACATTTAACAATTTGACTTTAAGGTGAAACAACAAAAATGAAATTTTATATTCTTTTGGTTTGCAGTTTAATAATCTCATTATTAAATGGTAAGTTAATAATAATATGCATAATGAACGTTCCATATTCATTGATAATTTCAGATGCATTTTCAATATCAGTTTGTCCAGCAAACGAAGAAGTGAGATCCTGCGAAACTGGCTGCGAACAAAATTGCAACCGCCTCGAAAATTGCGACATCAGTTGTCACTCGTATTGTTTTTGTAAATCTGGTTTAATAAGAGATCCGCACAGCGACCGATGTGTGGAATCGTGGCAGTGCTTGCAATTAGGCGAAGAAGGTTATTAAATTATCAATAAACGCACCTAAATGAAGTATGTTTTCTGCAACCTTAAAGTCCCCGTACTGCGGAAAGTTCTTTTCCAAATCCCAGCACCAACATCTGTTCATTACTCGTACAAAAATGCCTCTGAAAAAGTCCATCATTAATGTTGTAAAGCCAGTTAGAATTAGATCCATGACGGTCAATTTAATCAATTCCTGTCCGAACATTGTTTCCCAGCATAGGCTTCTTAATTTAGCATTCATGGTATAATTTAGGGTTTTTCTATATTCAGCCTCTCCATAGTTGACGGTAGTTTTTATAGCAGTAGTGAACGTATCACAATATGTTTGACACTTAAGGTCTGTATTATCTATTGTGATAGTTTCACTAGTTTCTGTTGTTGTTGACGTGAAAATATCTGTATATGATGATGTTATTGTGGAAGTAATCTCTTCAAATAAAGTTGTAAGTTCAGTTTCAAATCTTTGCTCTTCTTGAGGGGTTGTATCGTTAAAGAGTGGCAGTAGAGTGGTTTTGAAATGTTCATAATTATCAGTAGGAGTTAAAGTGATGTTAATTATATCAGTATTATTCAGTACAACAAATGGAGACAGTATGTAAGTTAAATAATCAACAAATAAATCCTTCAATTCCTCTGCGGTTATTGTAAAATTTAAATAGTTAGTTGAATTTTCATATTCAATAGTCGAATTAATCCATGTTGATTCAGTAGCATTATTTAAGTCAGTAAAGTCATGCAGAGTCGTTAATAAGTTGTTTAACGTCGGCATGGCCAAAGTCGATAGATTCTCAGCTAAATTTGAAATTAAATCCATGGAAATTCCAGTTTGGTCGAGAATTAAATTGTCGCTGCATATACAATGAAAAGCTGATATGCTGTTATCGTCGTAGGATTGGAGAGCTTCGTAGGGGTTCGGACTGGTGTAAAAAGCCACATCGGTTGTTTGCGGTTTTGATAAATTATATTTAATTTCTTGGAGTAGAATTGTCTGAAAATAAAAGAGTTTTAGTTTGATAGCTATGGATATCTGATTCACTTACCATATCAGTAATTTTATCAAACAATGCAAATATGAGCGAGTACAGGTTCAACAGGTTCAACACCATGATCCTGCAATAACCGTTCAGGGTTGTCAGATGTCAAATTTAAAATTATTAGGATTTGAGAACAAAATTATCAGATTCCAAGAAAAAGTTTCTGTCAAATTTTTTAACTTTTTATCTCTATTTTCATTTTTCGGGTTCTAGCTGGGACTCTGACAATTGTAGCTCTCAATAAGAGCTTCAAAAAAGGTTATTCAAGACTTCAAGCCCAAGGGCTTCGTTTTCAAGATAATCGGCTTTGAAGCTTTTGCAAAATTTGAGACAAAGTTTTAACTTTGAGCCTCAATATCTTCAAAAGTATTTAGGATATAGAATTGAATCTTATTTTATCTTGAAGATTATTCAATTCTGATTCAGAATATAAAATTTTACATCATATTTGTTATAATAATAACCGAGTAATCAGAAATTTTGTGAAAGAATATCAGATTATTGAGTCCAAAAATTGCAAATATCGTTTTTATTTTTTTACAAGCCTTAAAACCCTAAAAACAAAGTTGCGTAAATGCTTTTCCACTAATTTTCACCTCCTCTTTTGATTAGTGAAGTCAAAAATTGTAAAATCCAAAAATTTAAAAATTCGAACTTTTCCAAAGGGGTATGCATGGAAATTGGATTTTCAAATTTTTCAAATGCTTGTATTTTGGAAACCAGTAAAGCTATTGGCATGAATCTTTTGCCCAATTGTAGCTCTTAATAAGGGCTACAAAAAAGGTTATTCAAGACTTCAAGCCCAAGGGCTTCGTTTTCAAGATAATCGGCTTTGAAGCTTTTGCAAAATTTGAGACAAAGTTTTAACTTTGAGCCTCAATATCTTCAAAAGTATTTAGGATATAGAATTGAATCTTATTTTATCTTGAAGATTATTCAATTCTGATTCAGAATATAAAATTTTACATCATATTTGTTATAATAATAACCGAGTAATCAGAAATTTTGTGAAAGAATATCAGATTATTGAAATTTTTTGAGTCCAAAAATTGCAAATATCGTTTTTATTTTTTTACAAGCCTTAAAACCCTAAAAACAAAGTTGCGTAAATGCTTTTCCACTAATTTTCACCTCCTCTTTTGATTAGTGAAGTCAAAAATTGCAAAATCCAAAAATTTAAAAATTCGAACTTTTCCAAAGGGGTATGCATGGAAATTGGATTTTCAAATATTTCAAATGCTTGTATTTTGGAAACCAGTAAAGCTATTGGCATGAATCTTTTGCCCAATTGTAGCTCTTAATGAGGGCTACAAAAAAGGTTATTTAAGACTCCGAGCCCAAGGGCTTCGTTTTCAAGATAATCCGCCTGGAAGCTTTTGTGAAATTTGAGGTAAAGTTTCAACTTTGAGCCTCAATATCTTCAGAAGTATTTAAGATATAGAATTGAGTCTTATTTTATCTTGAAGATAATTTAATTCTGATTCAGAATATATATATAATTTTACATCATATTTGTTGCAATAATAATCGAGTAATCAGCCATTTTGTGAAAGAGTGTCAGATTAATGAAATTTCTTTGAGCCCAAAAATTGCAAAAACCGTTTTTATTTTTTAACAAGGCTTTAAAACCCAAAAAGGAAAATTCTGAAAATGCTTTTCTAGTAATTTTAACCTCTTCTTTCGATTGGTGAAGTCAAAAATTGCAAAATCCAAAAATTTAAAAATTCGAACTTTTCCAAAGGGTTATGTATGCATGGAAATTTGATTTCCAAATATTTCAAAGAGCCATATTTTGGAAATCAGTGAAGTTATTGGCACGAATCTTTTGCCCAATTGTAGCTCTTAATAAGGGCTACAAAAAAAGTTATTTAAGACTCCAAGCCCAAGGGCTTCGTTTTCAAGATAATCCGCCTGGAAGCTTTTGTAAAATTTGAGGTAAAGTTTCAACTTTGAGTCTCAATATCTTCAGAAGTATTTAAGATATAGAATTGAGGCTTATTTTATCTTGAAGATAATTTAATTCTGATTCAGAATATATAATTTTACATTGTATTTGTTACAGTAATAACCGAGTAATCAGCAACTTTGTGAAAAAATGTCAGATTATTGAACTTTTTTAAGCCCAAAAATTCCAAAAACCGTTTTTATTTTTTTACAAGGCTTTAAAACTCTAAAAACAAAGTTGCAAAAATGCTTTTTCACTAATTTTGATCTCCTCTTTTGATTGGTAAAGTCAAACATTGCAAAATCCAAAAATTTAAAAATTCGAATTTTTCCAAAGGGGTATGCATGGGAATTTGATTTTCAAATATTTCAAAGGGCCATATTTTGGAAACCAGTAAAGTTATTGGCATGAAACTTTGGCTCAATCTGGGACTAGTGTTTAGTGCTCGCACCAGTACGTCAAAACCAACAACTACCTTCAATTTTTTAATAAATTTTTACAGCTGTATGCAACATCCTCTTTTAATTAAAAAGCGCTTTTTAAAACTGGCCACTTTTAAGATTCTGCCATACAAATTTTTAAAGGTACTTACTAGTTTTAAAAAGCGCTTTTAAGTTTAAAGAGGATGTTGCATACAGCGATTAATTTTTAACTAGAAATTTGAAAAATCTATATTAAAATTGTAGTTTCAATAAATTATGGTAGATTAGCTTGTCATTATCGATTACTGAATCGTAGTCAAAATTATGGTAGAATTCAATAATTATCGGGTCATTGGCAACACTGAATCCGTTATAAGTGACAGATAATTTCAACAAATGTACCTTGCTAGTTGTAATCTCAGTTGTTTCCTGGGATGGTACTGTTCAACGAATCCTAAAACTTCAAAAAACATTGGAAATATTACTGTAATCAACGACATGACTACTGTAATTTCATTTCTGCGCCAAATGTTACTATTCGCATCTGGTTCTGTTGATCTTTTGACTACTATTACCACTGCATAGGCTGAACAGGTTAGTAATCCAACTACTAGAGAGTTGACAAGGACACGAAAACAAATAACTTTCCAACTGAAAATTTTGAGCAATTTTGGTATCTATTATTATGTAAATTGAAATTACAAACTAACTTTCTGGATTCTCGTTTCTTTTCGGCTTCTTCTAGTAATGCCTCTTTGAATCCCATAACTATAGAGGCCACTCGATTGTGTGCAGTTTCAGAGTTTCCAATCATGTAATCCCACGCAGTGAATAGTTTCCAAGAAAAAATGCATTCGTCGTCTTTTTCGGATAGTTTTGACATTCTAGAGTTTTCTGCCATTCTAAAAAAAAAAACAGCTTAATATCTATGTATAATTCAACTAGGTAGTTACTTTCTTAAAGTTGCAAAGAAGCTATAGGCATAAACAACCAAGCCGGTAACAAAATAAGCGAACGGTAATCTGTATCCGTTTCCGTGGACTTTTTTTCCTTCGAAACCATTGAATACAGTGGAGTCGTTATAGTCTCTGTTTGTGTACCATCCGTAAAATAATGGGGAATATTTGAAAACCCCTTCAAAATCCCACAGGGTAAGGAAATTTGTTGAATTGTATTGTTCTTCTTTGAGGACGAATTTTCGTTCTTTTACAGCTTCGGGATCTGCGGTGATAATCTGAAATCGATGTTTTATATTCCAAGAAATCCCTCGAGTTTATTACTTTTACTACTGCAAAGCCGACTATTCATCCTCTAGATGAAATCCGAAATTGATTTTGAATTTCTTAGATAAAAATCAAGATATTTTACCTCTATCTAGATATTTGAAAAGAGCATTTAGGGCGTAAATCAACTAAACGTTATCTGGCAATAAAGAGCGGAACCTCAAATTCATTACGAATTCAGGTCGCGAAATTCGCCCATTCATATAAGGATCGTTTCTGATGTAATTTACTTTCTCCGGTTGGATTATGCTAAGTTTTTCTAACAAATATGTTAAACCCTTATCAATCGATTTCTGAAACTGGCAATGACGCGTTATGATAAGGGTCATTATAGGACTATTGAAATATTCAAAACAATAAACAACAATATCGAAGGCCTTTTGTGTATAGGAATATAATTCAACTCAATTTAAAAAGAGTTCAAATATATCTTCACGAAGGCTTTTTCATTAGTTTCTGGCAATAAACAGCAATTATAGAAGCGTCCAAAGGTCGCTTGTTAATTGACTTCCGTTCGTTTTAATCAAGTAAATACGTCAAACGGGTGGAAAATAGTTTCTAGTAGGGATGAGTTAAATTGAAAAAGACTTGTTGATTGAATAAATGCCAGTGAATATAATTTATATAAATTATTCTTACCTCGGGTATAGTAACAAATGAAATAATGGCGATAGCAATAACGATATTAACCCAAAATAGCCACCTTAGAAATATAAAATACGACGCCACAACCGATCCAAAGTGTGATTCGATCTCTTTGATCTTTAATTCCCACGGTATGAACCACATTGACATGTTGGTCAGTTCGCGCTTCCATTTCTGCCATTTCTGAAAAGCAAGATAAGTAAATTTTAGGAACACCAAAATTATTGAGATTAATGAGGGCAAGAAGTTTGTCACGTAGGTATATGTTATGCATAACAAGGATTCAAGGTATAATGATACAGTTTCATATACTCTTAAACAAAAAGTCCATTTTCCTTTTATGGTTCCACTAGACACATTATTATTCCACATTCCATATTTTTGGAACACTGGTCTTTTCCAGGGGCTTTTTATAACCAAAATATTCATGTATGTATCTATGTATGCATTCTCAAATTCAATAAGAAAAAGCAAACTGATTTTTAGTCAGAGCAGCTTCGAAAACTTTTACCTTAATCAATAAAATATTCCATCTTGCCAGCATGTCCTTAGTAGAATGGCTCTGAGCTAGTCGTTCTTGTAACTGGCCTTCGTGCTTTTTAATGTAGGATTTGGCTTGGAGGACGAGCTTCAGTTTTTTCCGCATGCTCCACGGTTGCATTTTTACGTTGCTCAGCACTTCCTTGTGCAGTTTTATGTTTTCGAATATTTCGTCTTGTGTCACTTCGTTTGCTGCATTATCGTCTACAGTAATAGCAGTACTAAAATAGTGAGAAATGCGAATGCAAGTTAATGAGAAATACAATTCTGATATAATAATCAAAATTTGTACTGTTATCAGCTCTTGAACGCTTCAGATAGGTTTTAAGTTGAGTAAAGTGAGTTTGGACTGGACAAAACTTAGACTAAAGTTCCCCTCTCTAGTCTAGCTAAGTAAATTAGAAACTCTCCTAGGGTTTGTATATACTTTTTGTGATTTTTGCTTATTTTGTTTCTAGATTATGGTGGGACAATTGAATTGAGGTGTTTTTGCTGAATAATTCTGGTAAGTTTTTGTATGTTTATATTTGCCCAAATAAGGAAGTATTTATTTTGATCTATGGTGGCTATATGGACTATAGGATTCTTTGCTATAGGGAACACACATAATATACAGGGTGACACAAGTTTTGATTCCTCAGATATAGATACATTTTATAGCTATTGTTAGTTTTTGAAGTGTCTCCCTGTATAAAAACTGTATTATAGCGAAATGGAAGGATTAGTGCGCATTGAGTGTATTCGTGTCTTTTTCTACCAGCTTGTATAAGAAAGAGATGGAAATACATTTTTTTCTGCACCAATTAGAAAATTGCTCCCACGTAGGATAAGTTCAACGAAAACATGCAACGCTGTAGGCATCCCCTCTACGTTGTACTTTTTATTGAAATAGGTAATACCTTTTAAAAGTTTTAAATCAAATTTTAACGTAGTGGTTTTCGGTTAGATGGCGCCAGTTTTATGGGGAGTTTATTTCTCTTTTAGATAAGCTAATAATTGAAACAATGCCAGGAACTAGTTAATTATATTTTTAATATTTATTTTACATTTAAAAATGTATCAATATTAGCTTTTTTCCTTGTTCATTTGGTTCGCGCATGTCCGAGATTAAAGTAGGCTTTTTAAATCCCGAACTGGCGGCCATTTTGTCAACAAAAGTTCTTTTCGTGTCCGAGTGTGTAAAGCGTCGGGTCACTCGTCGGTTTTTCGCAAAATTTTGTATTTTTCCAGGCGATTTCAATGCGAAAAAGTGTTGTTTGGTACACTCGACACTGGCCAATAAGAAACATCATGGGTTTCTGGCCGAAACAACATCCTGTGCTGGCTAGGGCCATGGAAAACGCAAAGTAGGCCTTTTGGGTACCATTTTATTCGAAAACATAAGCTTTTGTACTTATTTTTTTATCAACATAATAATATTTCATTAAAAAAATAAATTTTTAAAAGAAAAATACCCAAATGCTCTTTAGTAGTAGTAGTTTACTGTTAAATTGCGCTAGTTTTAATTCAATATGGCGTCCCAGGGCAAAAAAAGATAAGTAAACAACGTGTTCACGCGTATTCTGATTTGTTTATTTTAATTGTTAATTTTTTATGGAACATATGAATTCAGCAGCATTTCAAACACCTGCCCAACAACTAGCGATCACTGCAAATTAATAAATATCGTATTGTAACGTTGTCAGATTGTGGTTGATTTCCACGATTGCCTTTGGAAACCTGGTTGTTGATATTCTTGTTTATCTATATAATTGGTTATACTTTTTGTACTGTAGTTATATTAATGTAATTCTGTGTGTAAAAATCGTGAAATTGTGAGTGTGTAAAAACGTGTAATTCAACCAGTATATCGTGTAATTTCACAAAAGTTAAAACCTGAAGAAAAAAGTAAGGGTGAGAGTGCTCAGTATTGTTGATTTTTGTGTTCGAAAAACTACAAATCGTTCTTACTCTCCTGAGCTGGTAGTGAACACCGAAGATCGTCTCCGTTCCTGGGCCACCGAGCAAGCAGGAGCTTCGCCTGGTAAAAAAGGGCTGCTGGCCCTTCTGCTCTGTTTTTTCGAGCGTCGAGTCGAGGCGCGACGTTGAATTATTACGTTGACGCTTGCCGAATAATCATCTTCGTCGGATTCGTTCGTTTCTAAAACATTAATAAATCAACGAACTTATTTTTTGTTATTTGAATAAAGTCAAAGACTCTTCTGTTTTCTTTGTATTGTATTTTTATGACTGAACAACTCTTGTCTACAACTTTTCCATAAGTATTTCAGAATGTATCACTTGTATTTCAGATTCATTAATTCTAGTTCATAATGCGTCAATTGTATTCCAGTTGTGTAAGTTTAATTTCAGAAAGTGTTATTTGTATTTCATTTTTCTCAGTTGTATAGTTCAGAAAATATCATTTGTGTTTCTGATTGGTCAGTTGTATTTTGTATTTCAGTTTGGTCACTTGTATTTCAGAAATCGTCGTTTGGGTTTCAGATTATTTATTTGTAGATCAGAAATTGTAAATTGTATTTCAGAATTCGTCAAATGTATTTCAGATATTGGTATTATCAATGTAGTGTATTAAATAAAATTTATAATGAGTCACCTATACACCCATCTTGTGTTGAATTGGGAAAATCTACGTAGATACCTGATGATTTCTGAACTACATCTGATAATTTCTGAAATACAATTTACGTTTTCTGAACTACAATCAACTAACCTGAAATACAATTGACTCTTTCCGAAATACAATTTTCTGATCTGAATTTCAATTGACGCATTCTGAACACATGGAAAAGGTGTAGAAGCTAGAAGCTACACATGCGTTGTCTATAACTTATTGTAAATAAGTTGATTTTGATACTACCTATAGTTTCTTCTGGTATTTGGGCCCGATCTTGCAGACATTGAAGCGATTGCTGATGCTGCAACTGTTGCATCCTGCCCGAATACACCGTCGGATATTCCAAATCTTTGGCAAATTTTACCGATAATCGTTCCGCCGACGGCTGAGGCGAAAGAATTTCTTTCTGAAATCACACACAAAAAAATTCCAACGCAAACTGTCCGACCAACTAAACATAAATGAACAAGAGCAGAAACTAACCTTCTACCACATATTTCTTGTATCACGGCAGGGGCCATTTAGAGGGTGTAAATACTAAATGAAGGGTTATAATTTAATCAGGAAGGCTGGGAAAAGACTTTAAGCACGCATCTTGAGGCCGCACCCAGCAGGATTCTTTAATAATTTCTTTGTTTCATTTATGAGTGTTAGATTTTATTAAATTTATGAGGAAACATAGAATAAAGGTAAGAGCTCATCAAATTCTGCATTTAAGTTTATATTTAATTCACATTACTGGCAGATTATATACAAAATGGTTAGTAGCATAATTAGGTATGTTCAGCTCCTTAATTTTTGGATTACCTAGGTCTATTTATTATTATTTATTTACATTCATTGCATCTTTTAAATATACATTTATTGCAAAAAATTTGTTCAAAAACTACAAGTTTCAGGTGAGTGTCTTATTTGAATAGTTCAACAGTATATTGGTGAGTCGACGGCTGCGGAACTCGCTGCGCTCATCCCGCAGAGGTCCACCCATAAGTTCCGCATTAGTCCACTTATTTGTACTTGAACTTATTATACAAAGTCAAAATTTGTAAGATTATGATTATTCACTTTTTGTCAATTCGCCTTTCAACAGGAATTAGTAATGTTACCTACTTTACCAAACTAGTAACATAATGTGACAAGTTATTCAAATACAAATGAGTGAATTGTTGCGGAACTTATGGGTGGACCTCTGCGGGACGAGCGCAGCGAGTTCCGCAGCCATCTATTCATCAATATGTTGTTTAATTGCGATACTAAACTGACTCACTCAAATGTGCGTTATTCTCATTAATTTAAAAATTGCTCGTTTCAGGTGAATATCTTACATGAACATCTTACATGAACAGTTCAATAGTATATTGGTGATTAGATGGCTGCGGAACTCGCTGCGTTCGTCCCGCAGAGGTCCACTCATTAGTTCGGCAATAATCCACTTATTTGTACTTGAACAATAACTTATTATGTAAAGTCAAAATTTGTAAGATTATCCACTTTTTATCAATTTGCCTTTTAACAGGAATAAGTAATGTTACTTTACCAAACTAGTAATATAATGTGACAAGTTATTCAAGTACAAATGAGTGGATTGTTGCGGAACCTATGGGTGGATTCAGCCATCTATTCATTAATAATATGTTGTTTAAATGCAATACTTACCTCATTAATTCAGTTGTGAATTTTTCTTATAAGTTCAAAAACTACACATTTCAGATGAGTGTCTTTATTTGAACAGTTCAACAGTATATTGGTGAGTAGATGGCTGCGGAACTCGCCGCGCTCGTCCCGCAGAGGTCCACCCATAAATTCCGCAATAATCCACTTATACAGGGTGTTTTTTTATATATTGACACCCCACCTACAGCCTTTATCTTCACAGGTAGAAAAAAGGTGTAAATACAAAAATTGTACAATTTTGGCTGAATTTTTAGAAACCATGGTCAGAAACAAAATTTGAGTGTCAGTAATGTGAAATATTGCATGCTTCCAGCTTTTTTCAAATGGGATGCCATATATTTCATTCTATATTCTTGGAGAGCACAATGCCCCGATTTATATATTTTGATTAAGCAATTTCTTATATATTCGGTTCCAAAAATTGTAAAAATACTATCCTACTATTGATTTTGTGAACCATTCTGGTGAAAGTTGCAGGTAAAATTTGAGGTACTTGGTTTCTCTGATAATATTTTTAAAATTTTTAGAACCAAATATGTTGGAGACGGCTCAATCAAATATAGATAAACTATATAGTTTTGAAATTGGGAGATTGTGTTCTTCAAGAATTTGAAACGAAATATAACGCATCCCATTTGAAAAAAGCTGAAAGCATGCAATATTTCACATTTCTGTCATCCAATTTTTGTTTTTGACCATGGATTTTAAAAATTTAGCCAAACTGTATAACTTTTGAATTTACATCTTTCATCTACCTGTAAAGGTAAAGGCTGTAGGGTAGGTGGGGTGTCAATATATAGAAAAACACCCTGTACATAATTTTATTGATTTTGTATGAATATGTATTTGTTAGAACAAAAAAACCCTACCCCCCACTGGATCCGCCACTGTCTTATTCTATTCTATAGCTAACTTGTGAAAAATACATTATGCATTAAAAAATACGCCGAAGAATGAAGATTATCTATGTTTAAGTGTGGATAAACACTTTTATCAATTTATTCACTTACCAATCTTACTTATCAATAACACAATACAGCTTGAGAGTGAGATAATATGTACTCACCTTACTTTTATCCACCTAATAATAATCGTAGAATTTGAATAAGTAGCGGGCCAAGTAAATGAGTGCTCAGTTGTAATGAAATAATTACAGCTAATTTTTATGTCATATTTTGCAGGGAATACATTCTTGGAATGATAAATTAGTTTAATTACCTTCAATTTTGTATAATCAGTGTCTTCTTTCAAAATTCCATCAAATTTTCTTTTACAAGACTGCATAAACACAGATTTTCTAAGACTACATTTGCCGCAAATTTCAAACAAAATGTTTTCCTAATTTTTTTCTAGGACTCGTACGCGGGCCAATAAATAAAAACAAATGGCTTGGAGCCATTTCTAATTATTAGGTCGCACCCTGGCCTAGCAATGATTATTATTAATGAAAGCAATAGCGTGTCCAGAGGACGATTCCAGAAAATTTATATTTATTGTGATTCGGGTTATTTTGTGCAAAAATATAATACCTGATTCAGCTTGAGCCTGGGTTTGCCGGACTCTAGTCTTAAAATTCCAGTTTCCTTAAGGATGATCGGGGATGATGACATTTTGCAAGCCTAAAAAATCTAAAAATATAAGGCATCTTTCGTAATTCCGCTTACTTGACGAATGAGGAACATTCACTATTCACATTAATAATTATCCTGCTTCGACCCTATACCAGTCGACTAATTACTAATTATTTTTCTCCGTCGTCTAGGGCACGGAAAAGTCGGAAATTATCCCCGCAACGAAAAACACACACATGATGAGTCGTTAGCGAGATTAGTTTTTCAGGCTATAGTAAAAAGGGGCCGCGCCTTGAATAAAAGTACAATTTTCTATTGTTTGATGAGTTTGTTAATGACCTATTTCCAACATAAACAGTTTTCTTTGGATATAGACGCGGAGGTAAAACTATGGCTGATTGTCTATGAATAACGGTATGTCAAATTATACAGGAAACAAATGCATATTGCTACTTACTTTTCAAAGTTTTTTTTATTATTTATGACCTATAAAACACATATTTCTTCTTCCATTTGGAGTGAAAGCCATATAAGAATATATCTATATAGGATTTTGTTAACCTAGTACCTACATATTATTCACAATTGAGTGAAAGCAACTTAAATCAGTTAGTTGTCATAGAAAATCATAGAGGCTTGAGAAAATTTAAGTCTGGTTTTTTTTGAAGGGGGTTGATGCACCAATAAATTCGAAGAGATATATGTTTAATAAATTATGACACACAGTTGAACAATACATTGGAAATATAATTTTAGTTATTAGTCAGTCACACATAAGTAAAATGATAAATTAAGAATAAATAAACTAATCATATTATATACTTTCCTATGATATTAATTGTTAAAATCAGCCTTCATCAAATTACGATAATACAAGTTCAAGCAAACACTATTTGGTAATTGACAGAAGCCCTAATTTTTTATCAATAAATTACCTAAGCTTATATAAAACAAAGTTGTTTCACTAGATTTACCTAAAGTTTGTGTGAATATATTATCTGAGCTTGAGCTGCACCTTTTCTGAGATAATACTTGCACTGTATATTCGAATAATTGAAAATTTGTTCCATCACTAACATTAGGTTAAAATTAACAATAAACTGTGAATGTTTTATGTCGCGTCAACATAAAACCCTCACACTAAATCAGCCTTTATTCCAAAACATAAATTACAATTAAATAAATCAATTATAACATGCTCATGATAATAATTGTGGCACTAGATTACTTTTTACGTCTAAACCTACTGAAGAATCTGCCCAAATTGTTTCCTATTCGTCAGAAAGTTGTCACTTTGCCCAGCTTGAGGCCCAGCAGTTTTCTTTGCTTGCGCGCGCTGAGTTTGGACAATAAGTTCCTGGTGCCTTCCAGGATTTCCTTTTCGTCGTTATATTCGTCCTGATCGTTGTCCTGACAAGACACAAAGCCGCTTTCCGGACGAGAAATGGAAATGGGTTCTAGAAGTTCAAACCAGCGTTCTACTTTGGCCGTAGAAGACAACTGGAAAAAAAAATTAATTAGTAAAAATTTAAATCTCCTCTACAATTAAAATATGTATTTTTTCTCGCCGCGTTCAAAGTTTTCCCTTCACAATCTTAAATATAATTGAGCTTCAAAGATAAAACTTTTCGCACAAATTAAAATTGGAAAACTTTTGCTCCAATAAATCTCCCAAAAGCGCTGGAATAATTTTGTGTGCGAAAGAAATTTGAATATTTATAAACTCGAGCAACATTTAAGCTAAAGAGCCCAACAATTCGATTAATAGAGCTAGGGAATCTAGGGATAACACTAGACAATGATTGTTTAGTAAGTTTACACCTACACTTCCATAATAAAGGAAACTTTGCTTGATTGCGGAAATTTATAATGTACCTGGAATGGGATTGTTCGAGATTATGGGATTTAATTATGGATTTTTCAGTTAGTAGAGTCCTTAGCTAAAATAGGCTGCATTGATTCCTTATAGAATTATTTATTGTCACATGACTTTTCAAAGAAAACACCAACTCTCATACTTTACGCATACTTATTCAACAGTTCATGAAATTTTCTACTCCTAACAGGGGCGGATACAGGCCTTCGGAAAAGGGGGGGGGGGGGGGGAGTTTAAGTTAAAGTAAGCCAGATTGGGTTAGTTTAAGTTAGTTTTGGCAGCGCACTGTGCAAGATACGGTTTTTCGAAGGAATGGCCCATAAAAATATGGGAATGGAGGAACTATTTAGGAGAATAAGGTGATTTTAAATAGGTAGATACAAGGTGTTTTTTTTATGTATTATGACACCCCACCTACAGCCTTTACCGTTACAGGTAGAAGAAAAGTGTAAATACAAAAGTTGTACAGAAATTTTTAGAAACCATGGTCAGAAACAAAATTTAAATGTCAGAAATGTGAAAGTTTGCATGCTTCCCTGCTTTTTTCAAATGGGATGCCCTATATTTCATTCTATATTCTTGAAGAGCACAATGCCCTGATTCCAAAAATATATAGTTTGTCTATATTTGATTGAACAGACTCTCATATATTCGGCTTCAAAAATTGTAAAAATACTATCCTACTACTGATTTTGTAAACCATTCTACCTATACAGGTGAAAGCTGCAGGTAAAATTTAAGGTTCTTGGTTTCCCTGATAGTATTTTTGCAATTTTTGAAACCAAATATATTGAGGACGGCTCAACCAAATATAGAAAAGCTATATAGTTTTGGAATCGAGAAATTGTGTTTTTCAAGAATATAAAACCAAATATAGGGCATCCAATTTGAAAAAAGCTAAAAGCATGCAACATTTCACATTTCTGACATTCAATTTCTGTTTCTGACTATGGATTCTGAAAATTTAGCCAATACTGTACAACTTTTGTTTTTACACCTTTCATCTACTTGTAAAGGTGAAGGCTGTAGGTGGGGTGTCAATATATAAAAAAACACCCTGTACTTGAACAATAACTTTTATATAAAGTCAGAATTTGTAAGATTATCCACTTTTTGTCAATTTGCCTTTCAACAGGAATTAGTAATGTTACTTTACCAGTAATATAATGTGAAAATTTTTTCAAGTACAAACGAGTGGATTGTTGCGGAATTTATGGGTGGACCTCTGCGGGACGAGCGCAGCGAGTTCCGCAGTCATCTATTCATTAATACGTTGTTTAAGTACGATACTAACCTGACTCACTCAAATGTTCAGTTTCAGGTGAGTGTCTTATTTGAATAGATCAACAATATATTGGTGAGTAGATGGCTGCGGAACTCGCTGTGTTCGTCCCGCAAAAGTCCACCCATAAGTTCCGCAATAATCCACTTATTTGTACTTGAACAATAACTTATTATATAAAGTCAAAATTTGTAAGATTATGATTAATCACTTTTTGTTAATTTGCCTTTCAACAGGAATTAGTAATGTTACCTTACCAAATTAGTAACATAATGTGACAAGTTATTCAAGTACAAATGAGTGAATTGTTGCGGAATTTATGGGTGCACCTTTGCGGGACGAGCGCAGCGAGTTCCGCAGCCATCTATTTATTAATATATGTTGTTTAATTACGATACTAAACTGATTCACTCAAGTGTGCGTTATACTCATTAATTTAAAAATTACACGTTTCAGGTGAATGTCTTACTTGAACAGTTCAACAGTATATTGGTGATTAGATGGCAGAGGTCCACCCATAAATTCCACAACAATCCACTTATTTGTACTTGAAAAATAATTTATTATATAAAGTCAGAATTTGTAAGATTATCCACTTTTTGTCATTCAACAGAAATTAGTAATGTTACTTTGCCAACCCAGTGGATTATTGCGGAACTTATGGGTGGACCTAGCCATCTATTCACCAATATGTTGTTCAAGTATGATACTAACCTGAGTCACTCAAATGTGAGTTATTCTCATTAGTGTAAAAAGTATAATCTATTTACAATCCGAAATCCGAAGTAAAGGTAAGATTTATCACCTTTTATTTATTTTGTGTATTTGATAGGGATTTTATTTTTATTACCTGCATAAGTTGGTAAGCATTTTTATATGTCTTTGGGAGGTCATGATGACAAACTGAAAAATAGCAAAGCAGGACTGAAGCATATTTTTATACTTTGAATGAGGTAAAGTCTGTGTTTTTTTTAAAGATAAAAGTCAAAATGACATTGTGTTAGCAATACAATGGCCGAGTTCGTTTCTGTCATCTTTTTCGTCGATTTGCTTCGAAAATTTGAGGCATGTGACTCTATTAAACAATTTCAGTTTACAAATCACGTGGCTGTCAAAATTTCGAAGCAAATCGACGAAAATAAAAATCACTGATAAATATAGGTAGGTACCCATGTTTATGCAGCAGAACATAACATAACATGGAAAATACTTAATTCAAATAACTCGAAACACATTAATTATTATTAAAAAGAACTTTACATGAATATTTTAAAAAAATGGTGGAAAGGAGAAAGTATATAGGATAAGTTTTGTATAAGGTTAAAAGTAGTCGATGTTACTTAAAGCTCAAATGAATATGGGCAGGACAGGTCGCACGACTGACGAATGGAAGATGGACCAAAAGAATTCTCGAGTGACGGCCTAGAAGTGATAAACGCAGCCCTGGCTGACCTTCCACTCTCCGGTCAGACGATATCCAGAGGATTTCGACAAACTGGATTGTAACATCACGAAAATTGAAAAGAATGGAAACACCTTGAGGTGTCCAACAAAGTGGACGCAACTAGATGACGATGATGATGATCTTATTCGAGCCTGAGGATTAAAATGTCAAATTCTAGCTTCAACTATTCTCAAATTCCATTGTTTCTTTATCAGAATCAGAATCTATCAAGCTTTTGGAATCAGAATCTGACTCATTGAAGGAATGTTTTCGAAGTTAGTGTTTCCCATTAATATCTCCCAGTCCTCGTGTATCAAAGTTTCACAATGTCTAACAGAATTTTGTCACATGTCTGATGTATAGGCAGATAAGGCCTTTTTCCATAAACTTACAACACAACTCTGTCTTTCGATGAAGCCTCCTCGTTTATGTGCTTGTTGTAAAAGTTTTTAGTACACCTCCATGCCATCTAAATAGGATTTTATTGACAATGGTATGGAGGTTATCTAAGAACTTTGTCTACTGAGAACCTCGTCAATCACATATTTTTTATTTCCTGTTTCCCTAAATGGTTTGATCAATTCCCATAATTTTTTTTTGATAAATCCGTCAGCAAGAACAACGTTATGTCTTGTCAAAAATTCCTGCATTTTGGCGTTTTCATACGAAAAACATGGTGGTTTATCGACAAGCATAGAATGATATGGTGCATTATTCATAACCGCCACACATTTTCCTTCTAATTTAGACAATGCAGGAATTAATTGTCTTTTCGCTCAATTTTAAAAAATGTCCCCATTCATAGTTTTGTGATAGTCTTTGTCAGCATTGAGTCACATTCATTCAAAAATCCCCTGCATGAAGAATAGTGAACCTCTTGCCCTCAGCTCTTATTTTGGACGAATCACTTTTTAGGTTAGTCTCATGACACCATTGGCATACCGCGAACCGTTCTGATACAACCAGGTTTCGTCTAAAAAAATAAAATTGACTCTTTTCCCGTAGATACTGAAGATACTTAAAAATTTTCTTCTGGCCGCCAAAACATGTTTTTGTTCACATAGAACTTTTCGCTGGTTCACGAGTTTATATTTGTAGCCCATAGACTTTAGAATTTTATATGAAAAAGTTCATCATTACGGCAAAAATATAGGTACTACTTTCCCCATTCCTCAAGTATAACAGTCTTCGATTGGAAAAATATCATGTTATCGCTTACGCTTACGCACTAAATTGTGAATTGAGTATGTATCAACGGTTTAAAAAATATATATTACCCATTCAAATATAAAAGTATGCTTAGTCCTGCTCTGCTATTGCATAACTTCCCAAAAACATATCAAAATCTTACCAACTTATGCAGGTAATCACTATCAACTACCAATTGAAAGATGATAAATCTACTTTTACCTGTGGACTTCGGATTGTGAATAGATTATACACGTTTCAGGTGAGTATCTTATTTGAACAGTTCTACAGTATATTGGTAAGTAGATGGCTGCGGAACTCGCTGCGCTCGTCCCGCAGAGGTCCACCCATAAGTTCCGCAACAATCCACTCATTTGTACTTGAACAATAACTTATTATATAAAGTCAGAATTTGTAAAATTATGATTATTCACTTTTTGTCAATTTGTCTTTCAGCAGGAATTAGTAATGTTACTTTACCAAACTAGTGATATATTGTGACAAGTTATTCAAGTATAAACGAGTGGATTGTTGCAGAACCTATGGGTGAACCCAGCCATCTATTCCACCAATGTGTTGTTCAAGTACAATACTAACCTGATTCATTCAGTTGTGCATTTTTCTCATTAGTTTAAAAACTACATGTTTCAGGTGAGTGTCTTATTTGAATAGTTTAACAGTATATTGGTGAGTAGATGGCTGCGGAACTCGTTGCGCTCGTCCCGCAGAGGTCCACCTATAAGTTCCGTAATAATCCACTTATTTGTACAGGGTGTTTTTTTATATATTGACACCCCATACCTACAGTCTTTACCTTCACAGGTAGAAAGAAGGTATAATATAAAAGTTATACAGCTGTATGCAACATCCTCTTTTAACTTAAAAGCGCTTTTTGAAACTGGTCACTTTTAAAAAGGTGTATTCTAAGCCATACAAATTTTTAAAGGTACTAGTTTTAAAAAGCGCTTTTAAGTTAAAAGAGGATGTTGCATACAGCTGATACAGTTTTGGCTGAATTTTTAGAGACCATGGTCAGAAATAAAATTTGAATGTCAGAAATGTGAAATTTTGCATACTTCCAGCTTTTTTCCAATGGAATGCCCTATATTTCATTCCATATTCTTGAAGAATGCCCCGATCTATATTTGAATGAGTAATCTCTCATATATTTGGCTCCAAAAATTATAAAAATACTATGTTACTACTGATTTTGTGAACCATTCTACCTGTACATACAGGTGAAAGCTGCAGGTAAAATTTGAGGTACTTGGTTTCTCTGATAGTATTTTCAAATTTTTTAGAACCAAATATGTTGGAGACGGCTCAACCAAATATAGACAAACTATATAGTTTTGGAATCGGGAAATTGTGTTCTTCAAAAATATAGAACCAAATATAGCGCATCCCATTTGAAAAAAGCTATAAAAGCATGTAATATTTCACATTTCTGACATTCAATTTTTGTTTTTGACCATGGATTCTAAAAATTTAACTAATACTGTATGGTTTATTTTTTTCCAAGATAGATTTTGGCATTGCCAACTTATAAACATAAACAATGCCGCTAATGCCGCTTATTGGTCGCTATTATAAAACTGATGTCAACCTGCAGAAATACCTTATTTTACGACCAATCAGGGTCAAGCGTTATTGTTTATGTTTCAAAGTTTTCAATGTCAAAATCTATCTTGGGAAAAAATAAAGTGTACAACTTTTGTATTTACACCTTCCATCTACTTGTAAAGGTGAAGGCTCTAGGTGGGGTGTCAATATATAAAAAACACCCTGTATATAATCTTATTGATTTTGTATGAATATTTATTTATTAGAACAAAAAAAAAAACAATACATCAACTCAACCACTAATGATATACTGTTTGAGGTTAAAGTTCTTGGGACAAAGACAAAAGTGTGATTTTTTTATAGGTTTCCAGCTTTCTAAACATTCTTAAAACTTGAAATATGGTTTCGCTCTCTTTGTTTGCCCCCCCATACTCCACTGTATACGCCACTGACTCGAAGAGAATTTCACAATTATTCAACTCTCTATTAATTGCTTCATACATAAATAAACTAAAAATACTTGATTTTATTATGGCAACATTAAATACATAATCTAATTTAAAAAAAAAAAAACTATTTTGTAGTGTGTCTAGCCCACATAGTCCTTTGCATTTGCGACATCAGCTCGCTCCTATTCGGCACCCTTTCACTTGTAGACCTGGAAAGTCCGGGACCGTTCATCAACCTCAGCTCGTCGCTGATCCTCAACTTAGACAGCTGATCACCGTCCTCCGAATTCGACGGTACCGGCACTATCACTCGTACTCTACCTTCCGAATCCGTCGTAGTTAAAGTGCCCACTTGTGATAGTGGTTTTATGAATTGAGCTTCATTTGGAGGTTGTTCAGGCGTGCCTCTTTGTGGACGATTAGGAGCGTCTTGCGCTTGCAAATTAATACTAGAATGTCTACGTTGCATAGTTGGCACCGATAATTGAGTATACTTTGGAGTTTGTTCAGGTTGTCCTAAATCCTGAGTATTGTACACCTGACGAGGCTCACTGTGTCTCGATGAATTAGCGATATTACTAAAACTCCTCGGTAGGGAAGCGTAAGGATTGTACTGAGGAGGTGACATCCATTGATTGACCATCGGCGGATAATTGTATGGATAGTGAGGAGATAGCGGCGCCGGATATCCTAGACGTTGTAAAAGTTGATTTTCGTAATTCATTTCAGTTGGAGGATATGAGAAGTTGAACAAACCGCTGCCTGCAGGGTTGAAAGTGGTTCTCACGGGAGATTGTATTGTTGCGCGGTTTTCGTAGATGCCTGATGGTAGATTGAGGGCTTGGAGCACCAGAGGGTCTATCTGAGGTAATTGGTCTAGTGGTTGATTGTCCTAAAATAGAGACAATTTTGTAGTAAAATTTTGTAAATTGTAAAAGGATGTATAAGATTAAATAATTTGCTCTAGTTTTAAAATATAATAAACCTAATGCATCTCGACAAGCTCTTATTATTCTAAATTTACTGTTTGACCTTCAACATCCATTTTCTTAAAAGCTCTTGTTTTATTAGGAATAAGAACCCTAATGAATGAAGATCGTCTTTATTTTAGTTTGATTATCTTAAATCCAGAAAAAATTATAAAATATAAAATGTCTTTACCTAAATTTGGTTGTTAGGCTGTTGTCCAAAGCCTTGAACAATATCCATATCACATAAAACATAGCAAACACTCACTGCTGTTAGCTGCACACACTGCAAAGCTGCAAAATCCTTAGAAATTTCGAAGGACTTTGTGTGTTAAAAAAGCATTACGACAAATAATAATAACACGAAAAATGCTATAAACTAAGTAAGTAGGTACTTATAAGCAATATGGGGTGATTTATAGTAGAGTCCAAAGGCCTATTACTCATCACCCCCCACTCCTATGACGTCACGTCCCTGACCTTAGCCTTGAAAAATGACCTAGTAATGTTCTGACGTCACACGACGTTGACCTTGAGTTGCTGTGCGACCTTGAGTGTGCGCAGCCTTGAGTTGGCGCGTGACCCTAATTTGTTCAGATATTTGAAAAGCTCTAGAAACCCTGTAATTTATAATATTCCCAGGTTTATACTTTTTGAGCAAATTGGGTTTGAAGTTTTTGGCAAAATTTGGACTAAAAATCAATTTTGAGGCTCAATTACTCAAAATTTTCTGAGCTATTGAACTCAATTTTGCGTGAATTTATAGAGAATTTATTGCTTTTTCCAATGATATATAATTTATTTCAATTTACTCAAAATTTAGCAAAGATATTGGCAATTGCTCATGACCATGTCAAAATGTGAAAATTTTCCAGAGCCAAAAATAAGATTTCCTTTTTAATTTTTTTTCAGTTTAAAATGGCCATTTGGAAATAATGTCAGGATTGTTCTTCACTAATTTTGACCCGCTCTATCGATTGACAAAGTCAAAATTAAGCATAACTGAAAAATAAAAAACTCGAGTTTTTCAGAAGGGTACCGCCTTTGAATTTTGATTTCAAAATATTCAAACCTCAATTGCTAGGTAACCGTTGAGCAAATTGCATTGAAATTTTTAGCTTTTGTGGCTCTTAATAAGCTCTAAAAACCCTGTAATTTATAATATTCCCAGGTTTATACTTTTTGATCAAATTGGGTTTGAAGTTTTTGGCAAAATTTGGACTAAAAATCAACTTTGAGGCTCAATTACTCAAAAACTTTCTGAGCTATTAAACTTAATTTTGCATTGATTTATAGATAATTTATTGCTTTTTCGAATGATATATAATTCATCTCAATTTGCTCAAACTTTAGCAAAGATATCGGCAATTGCTCATGACCATGTCAAAATTTGATCTTATTTTTGGCTCTGGAAAATTTTCAAATTTTGACTTGGTCATGAGCAATTGCCGATATCTTTGCTGAATTTTGAGCAAATTAAAATAAATTATATATCATTCGAAAAAGCAATAAATTCTCTATAAATCCATGCAAAATTGAGTTTAATAGCTCAGAAAGTTTTTGAGTAATTGAGCCTCAAAGTTGGTTTTTAGTCCAAATTTTGCCAAAAACTTCAAACCCAATTTGATCAAAAAGTATAAACCTGGGAATATTATAAATTACAGGGTTTTTAGAGCTCATTAAGAGCCACAAAAGCTTAAAAATTCAATGCAATTTGCTCAACGGTTACCTAGCAATTGAGGTTTGAATATTTTGAAATCAAAATTCAAAGGCGGTACCCTTCTGAAAAACTCGATTTTTTTATTTTTCAGTAATGCTTAATTTTGACTTTGCCAATCGATAGAGCGGGTCAAAATTAGTGAAGAACAATCCTGACATTATTTCCAAATGGCCATTTTAAACTGAAAAAAAATTAAAAAGGAAATCCTATTTTTGGCTCTGGAAAATTTTCAAATTTTGACATGGTCATGAGCAATTGCCGATATCTTTGCTAAATTTTGAGTAAATTGAAATAAATTATATATCATTGGAAAAAGCAATAAATTCTCTATAAATTCACGCAAAATTGAGCTCAATAGCTCAGAAAGTTTTTGAGTAATTGAGCCTCAAAGTTGATTTTTAGTCCAAATTTTGCCAAAAACTTCAAACCCAATTTGTTAAAAAGTATAAACCTGGGAATATTATAAATTACAGGGTTTCTAGAGCTTTTCAAATATCAGAATAAATCAGGGTCACGCGCCAACTCAAGGCTGCGCACACAGAACATTACTGGGTCATTTTTCAAGGCCAAGGCTAAGGTCAGGGACGTGACGTCATAGGAGTGGGGGGTGATGAGTAATCGGGCTGAGTGCCTTTTTTCATAGATTCCGGCTCCAAATCTCAGAATAATTTAGTGTATGGAGTTTGGACCATTAGGACACAAAGTCTTAACAAAAAAATTGTTGAATTTTCATCGTTTTAGTGAGAAGGTAATACTTATGATTTAGATTTTGGAAAATTTTGAAAGGTCATAGCTTTTTTTCTATTAAAGATAAAAAGCTGCAATTTTCAGCGATTCTTATTCTAGTGAAGGACTACAAACTCTGAAAATTTTAGCTCATTTGTACTTATAGTAGCAGAAATCGTGTTAAGGAAGAACTCCAATTAACCACATCTAGAATTCAATTCCAGCGAATACAGTTTATCGTATATGGTTTGCATTAAGCAAGATAATTGGAAAAAGTTTATGCAGTGTAGTAACGGGGTTTTTGTGCACATCAGCACCTTTTAGTACATGCAGTAATCGTATAAATAAAATAAATGATCACCTGAGGCATAGTCATATGCGGCGGGCTGGGCTGTTGTCCTGGCTTATCGCCGCCTTGCAAGTGTGCCACCAGCGCGGCTATGTGATCCAGGAGTTCTCGGTTGTGTACCAGGAGTTGGTGCGTGCGCGCTTGAGCTTCCATCCGAGCAGTCTAGAAACCAAAAAAATAGTTATTTTTCTACAAACGTCACTAAAAGTGTCATTTTTAACGGATGCTGTCAGTGTCTAAAATGCCATTTTATGACACTGGTGTTAAAAGTGATTACTTTTAGCACTGAGTGCTAAAAGTAATCACTTTTAGTGCGTTTGTAGAAAAAATAGTGTATGATATTCATGGTAAAAGTGATTTTATTTTGTTCAAAAAGATGGAACACTCCGCACCCATATCATAAATAACTATTTTTCTCCATCGTGGAAACTCTAAAAGCTACGCACCTGTTCTGCTTGCAGCTGTTCCCTGGCCAGCTGCAGCTGTGCCATGGCAGCTTGGGTTTGTTGCCTTTGCTGATCTAGTTGCTCTCGTAACAGTTGAATTTCGTGGTGCGAGGATAGAGCGCTTCCTGGTGGAGGTAGAGAGTTGCTGCCTGTTGAGTTACTTGCTAAATTGTCACTGTGGGGTGACGCGTACGTTTCAGCCTGCTAGAAACGATAGTTGATGAGTGCTAGCCTGCTTTTTTGTATGGGCATCGAGAAATTTGGATAACGCACACCTAACATGGGATTTTTGGGCTCTATGGATGTTTTGCACATTTTTTGATATGTTGTAGAGGATTTAATTCTTAACAACCTTTAAATGGGACGAAATCTTGTAGGTATTACGGTCTTTCAGATATGAGTGTTGGAAGATGAACTTGCGTGCGACTTTTCGTGTGGAGTAATGACCTATTAACACAGTTAACAGTTAATAGGTCATTGGTGTGGAGAGTATACGAAATACTGGTGTTTATTAGTCAAAATATTGAAATATTCACATATTTTACGTCACTAGCAAATGTCAACATAAGTTAAGGCTGGAGCCGGACTGGCGTCAACATTGGCCCAGTGTGGCCTTAAGCCGGCGGCACACGATGTGTCCAAACATTGGTCTCAACGTTGGGTAAAGTCTGTTTTAGCATGTTTTAGTAACTATGTTGGCAACACAAGCCTTTTCTACATAAAAATTTGAAAGCATTGACAATTTTACATTGTATTGCCAACATAATGTCATTTTGACTTTTATCTTTAAAAAAAAAACAAAGTTTACAATGTTTGGTACTGGAACATTTCGCAAATGTGACCGCTACACGATGAGGCAAACATCATTTCCAACATTGGAACAAAGGTTTGGAGTATCGCTGTCACTGTCGTTTCGTGTCAAAGTAGCACCACAAGCATCGGAAAATAAGTTTATCTACGACTATTAAATGATAGACGTTTTTTTTTTTGTGATAGCCACATAATGTAACTCATCTTACACAACTGTAGAATATGAATCTCATACTACACACAAGACCGTAAAACCTACAAGATTTCGTTTCATTCTCTATTCTCTAGTGCATAGAAAGTACCTGTTAGGTAACAACCAGACGTTTACCAGTCTGTCCATAATTTGGCCCTTGAAAGTTGTTAAGAGTTGAATCCTCTACAACATTGGACAAAATCCATGAAGCTCAAAAATCCCATGTTAGGTGGTGCGTTATCCTTTTCGGAAAGCTCTTTTAATTCCCTTCCTGCTGCAATATTAACGACTGAAGTTTCCTGGCCGGCCGCCAAAAAGCATTAAAGGCAATTTAAATGAATCATTAAATCGTAAAAACAAATAAAACAGCAGAGAGGCATTAAAATGATATCGTTGTCGAAATCAATCAATTTTAATTGAATAATTTCTGAGGATCCCAGTTTTTACCAGAGGTGAAATTTTTCTTGAACTCGGTGGGGGCGGTAGTAACATGTCTAAATGAGGTGGAGGTTTGATTTTCTTAATATTGCTATCCGGATAAATGTCTTTAAGGCTAGAGTTGTCATCAGGAGGTAAGGAATTCTTGTCGCCATTCGCCCCTTCCAATGTAATATCTGAAACGAATAACCGATTTTGCTTTCATTTCCAATTGAAAATTTGAGGAAAAATCAAAGGAGCTACAAAATATGTGGTATTAGTGATTGATTTTTTGCTATTAGCCATTGAACGCAATTGGAACTACATTTCCGCGTCGAATAACATCACACATACAAAAAATTCCCTGTGGGTAGCACAGCACACAGAGAGTCTCGGATAACTTTACTACAAAACTGAAAATACTCGTGTCGTCGAAGCTGCCAAAAAGCATATCAAAATTAATAATGGCAAAGTCACAGGCTTTTTTTAATAAGCCCAAACGGACAAAGAATTATTATTATATTTTTGGCAAGCGAACCAATCGATTGCGTCACCGAATCTGACGACACAACTTTTGAAACTAATGAATTAATTGATTGGCCTACAAAATTGTTAATGCATTTACTTCAAAAGTGCAGCAACAGTTCAAAGACAGAAACCATAAATTTTATATATTTAGAACTCTGCCGTTTATTTTTGGTTTGAAGAGGATCGCATTGATTTATTTATTGAATTTGGCTTATGACTAGAATTAGGCTAATAAAAAAATCCATAAAATAGTACAAAAAAGCATGAAATTGTTTGTTTGTCCTGCGAATCAGAAGTATTTTTTAATTTGGATGAGTCATATAAGCATCAAACAAAGACCTTCAAACACTTTGAAGAAAATTTCTCAGTACAAAAACAGGTGAAACCGTTAAACTTGTAATTATTATTCTTCTAAAGTTGCAACTTCGGGATAGTGAAATATGTTACTTTGTTATTTTGATATATTTATAGCCTATTTTAAACTGTAACTGCAGGGGCGGATACAGGCCTTTTGAAAGGGGGGCAGTTTAAATTTAAGTGAGCCAGATTGGGTTAGTTTTGGCAGCGCATTGTGCAAGATACGGTTTTTCGAAGGATTGGTCCAAAAAAATATGGGAATAGGTAGGTACAAGTAAAAGAAATGTGTAAATACAAAAGTTGTACCTACAGTTTTAGCTAAATTTTTAGAAACCATGGTCAGAAATAAAATTTGAATGTTAAAAATGTGAAATTTTGCATGTTTCCAGCGTTTTTCAAATGGGATGCCCCATTTTTCATTCTATATTCTTGAAGAGCACAATGCCTCGATTCCAAAAATATATAATTTGTTTATATTTGATTGAACAGTCTCTCATATATTCGGCATCAAAAATGGTAGATTGTAGAAATACTATCCTACTACTGATTTTTTCTGCGATTGACAAGAAATGTCAGCATTTTTGACCGGTTGACAGGTCGAAAAACTCAATATTCTGGTATTTTAATTATGTTTCAATAGTTGTTAAGGAATTAATGAATAACAATACGGGAAACACTTTTCCGGCCTAGGCCGGAAAGTGATTCTCGTACTGCTGAATAATTGAAACGAAAAGACAAACCTTCAACAGATATTTACCCGATCGCAGAAAAAATAGTATGTGTATTTCGGTGGAAAAGCACATTCTCGTCCTTCGGTGTTTGCCGGCCTCGGCTACGCCTCGCCCGTCAACTTACACCGTCTGCCGAGAATGTGTCACTTTTCCACCTAAATACACAATATACTATTGTGAACCATTCTACCTATACAGGTGAAAGCTGCAAGCTGCAAGTAAAACTTGTGGTACTTGGTTTCTCTGATAGTATTTTTAAATTTTTTAGAATCAAATATGTTGGAGTCGGCTCAACCAAATATAGATAGACTATATAGTTTTGGAATCGGGAAATTGTGCTCTTCAAGAATAAAGAACCAAATATAGGGCATCCCATTTGAAAAAAGCTGGAAGCATGCAACATTTCACATTTCTAACATTCAATTTTTGTTTCTGACCATGGATTCTAAAAATTTAGCCAATACTGTACAACTTTTGTATTCACACCTTTCATCTACTTGTAAAGGTGAAGGCTGTAGGTGGGGTGTCAATATACATATAAAAAAACACCCTGTACTTGAACAATAACTTATTATATAAAGTCAGAATAGGATTATCTACTTTTTGCCAATTTGCCTTTTAACAGGAATTAGTAATGTTACTTCATCAAACTAGTAACGTAATGTGACAAGTCATTCAAGTACAAATGAGTGGATTGTTGCGGAATTTATGGGTGGACCTCTGCGAGACGAGCGCAACGAGTTCCGCAGTCATCTATTCATTAATACGTTGTTCGAGTACCATATTAGCCTGACACTCAAATGTCAGTTATTCTCATTAGTTCAAAAACCATAAGTTTCAGGTGAGTGTCTTATTTGAACAGTTGAACAGTATATTGGTAATTAGATTGCTGCGGAACTCGCTGCACTCGTCCCACTGAGCTCCACGCATAAGTTCCGCAATAATTCACTTATTCGTACTTGAACAATAACTTATTATATAAAGTCAAAATTTGTAAGATTGTAATTATTTACTTTTTGTCAATTTGCCTTTCAGGAATTAGTAATGTTACTTTACCAAACCATTAAATAATGTGACAAGTACAAATTAGTGAATTGTTACGGAACTTATGGGTGAGTGGGACGAGCGCAGCGAGTTCCGCACCTAGCTAATCACCAATATACTATCGAACTGTTCGTAATTTTTAAACTAATGAGAATAACGCATATTTGAGTAAGTCAGTTTATAGTCCAAGAGCCTAGAGCCGCCAGACACAACTTATTTTCTAAAAGACAAAATATGTGGGAGTGTGTAGCACTTATATGTACTATGAACGTATGTATACCCGCTAACTTGGGTAGACGGCCAATTTACCGAATGCTTAAAAAGTACTTTAACTTTTTTTCTAACGCTTGATTTTTATACATGTTATTGGGGAGACTATTTCATAACTACGTGTGTTCAGTCAGACCAATCGCACCGACCAAACATCCCCCCAGACGCAATACTAATTTTTCCGGGAGTGTGAGCGCGAGGGTACTACGCATGCGTTTGAGAGTGAGCGAGATATCTATGTCAACTGATTTCCCCTTCTCAAACTTACAGTCTATTCCAGGCTAGAGTAGAAATGGGAAAAACCTTTATTCACAAATGACAGCAGCGTTGCCACCTTTTTTTTAACGAATCTACTAGCTTCTTTGTCTGAATCTACTAGAGATGTACTGAAACAATATTTTGAAAAATACCAAAAATCTACTCTTAATCTATAGGTTTGTTCCAACTCGTAAAAAACCCGTCCCAGAACGGTTCCGCAAAACTCTGTATACGAATTTCGGTTTCTACGCAAAAACTTTAGGTTTTGCACAGAATCCCGAGTCCTGACGGTAATATTACGGTTTCCTGATGGGTTGAAACAAAACAAAGCTGATATCTCATATATTTTGTATTGTATACGTATGAAAAATGTACGTAATTTATTTAATAAGAAAGTGGGAAAATATTAGGGAGTTGGGAGTAGCTACACTCGTAGTCTGTATTTCCGTCTTGCTTCCAGCGTTAATAAAAAAAGATGACAATATATTAGCGCCGTACGGGTTCTACAGACGAAAAACGATATTAGGGAATAAAGTCCAAAACAAGACGTATTATGTTCGCTTCATAATAATTGATCTTATTATCACTATAGCTTTGTTTTGGTTTGAAATTTGGAACAGTTCTGTGATTGCGCACAAAAAATAATAGAGGACTGTTCTAATATTAGTTCTGAACCGATTCGGAACCAAAAAAAAAAAAACAAAACACGCCGCAAATCACAAAATTCCAAAATAGTTCCTCCTTCAGAGCAAGAACTGAGAGAACCGTTCTATTAACAATCCCAGAACCGTTCTTAAATAGTTCTAGATAAACCAAAACACTGATGTCAACGCAGTTCGAATACGATTATGAAAAAACGAAAACGCGTTTTATTATATGCACATGTGCAGAATGATTCCGAACTAGTTCTGAGTGAAACCAAAACAAAGCTAATATCACTAACTGAGATCTAACTTAACTATCTAGAATCTACTAGATTTTCTACTAGAAATTCTGTCTACTAAAATTTTACAAAAAAAGCTGAAAATCTACCAGATAAGTAGAAATCTACCAAAGGTGGCAACGCTGAATAACAGTTTCAGCCGTTATTATTATTAGGCGATTTCGGCAAGCTTTGGTTGGTATACCATTTGGTTAACCAATGGGTACTTGCAACGTCATAGAAATGACGTAAGACACCATTTTGTTCCGAATTCGTTCGGTAGGTCATGGGAGAGAGGTAGAGACCAGCCTTAACCCAACTTTTTGTTGTTCTTCTAGTTTTGGAAGTGACTAGGTACTGACTGCCCTGACTAAAATCTATAATCACTAATCAGCACTCTCTAGACAGTACCTTTGAGTAACCTATTGGCTAACTCAGCGTTTTCTGTAAATGTAAGGCTTATTCCATAATCCATTCAGCAAAAAAGTTACCCCACCCCATATCTGTCGTTCAAAGCCATTTTTCAATTGATCACTAAACATTATTTGGCAGTCAAAACATACGAGAAAACAGGAAGATGAAGGCAAAAAATCAAACATATTTGTTAAAGATTTCAAATTATTCAAATTCTAATGAATTTCCATTTATTTACATTTCCCAGAGCAAGACAAAACGAAAATAGACGTAGATAGCACTATACCAAATGAGAAGTATCGTGCTGCTGACCACGGTATCCACTATACCAAAAAGGATACCAAAGTCACGGCGACGACATCATTTTCGTATCCGAAATTGGTTGGTATGCATTTCACAGATCAAACAAGGTACCTACCAAACCATGTATCAAAGCTTGCCGAAATCGCCTATTTTCAATTGGCCGTCTACCCAACTTCGCGGGTATACAGACGTTAATAGTACCTACCTATAAGTGCTACTCAATCCCACAATATTCTGTCCTTTAGAAAATAAGTTGTGTCTGGCGACTCTAGGCTCTTGGACTATTAGTATCGTAATTAAACAATATATTAATGAATAGATGGCTGAACAATAACTTATTATTTAAAATCAGAATTTGTAAGATTATCCACTTTTTGTCAATTTGCCTTCTAACAGGAATTAGTAATGTTATTTTACCAAACTAGTAATATATTTGTAATAAGTTATTCAAGTACAATCGAGTGGATTGTTGCGGAACTTATGGGTCGACCCAGCCATATATTTACCAAAATGTTGTTCAACAAAGTACAATACTAACCTGATTCACTCAGTTGTAAATTTTTCTCGTTAGTTCAAAAACTACACGTTTCAGGTGAGTGTCTTATTTGAACAGTTCATTAGTATGAGATCCGCCCATAAATTCCGCAATAATCCACTTATTTGTACAGGGTGTTTTTTTATATAGATACATATATTGACACCCCACCTACAGCCTTTACCCTTACAAGTAGATGAAAGGTGTGAATATAAAAATTGTACAGTTTTGGCTGAATTTTTAGAAAACATGGTCAGGAACAAAATTTGAGTGTCAGAAATGTGAAATTTTGCATGCTTCTAGCTTTTTTCAAATGGGATGCCCTATATATTTCATTCTATGTTCTTGAAGAACATAATGCCCCGATCTATATTTGATTGAGCAATCTCTCATATATTTGGCTCCAAAAATTGTAAAAATACTATCCTATTTATACTACTGATTCTGTGAATCATTCTACCTGTACAGGTGAAAGCTGCAAGTAAAATTTGAGGTACTTGGTTTTTCTGAAGATAATTCCCCAAGTCAAAAATTTAGTAACGATGTTGGTAACACAAGCCTTTTCTACATAAAAAATTTAAAAGCATTGAAAATTTTACATTGTATTGCCAACATAATGTCATTTTAACTTTTATCTTTAATCTTTAAAAAAAAACACACACTTTAGTATTTTTGAAATTTTTAGAACCACATTATGTTGGAGACGGCTCAACCAATTCAGACAAACTATATATTTTTGGGATCGGGTAATTAAGTTCTTCAAGAATATAGAATTAAATATAGCGCATCCCATTTGAAAAAAGCTGAAAGCATGCAATATTTCACATTTCTGTCATTCAATTTTTGTTTTTGACTATAGATTTTAAAAATTTAGCCAATATTGTACAACTTTTGTGTTTACACCTTTTATCTACTTGAGAAGGTGGAGGCTGTAAATGGGGTGTCAATATATAAAAAAACACCCGGTACTTGAACAATAACTTCAGTCAGAATTTGTAAGATTATCCACTTTTTGTCAATTTGCCTTACAACAGGAATTAGTAATGTTACTTCACCAAATTAGTAACATTATGTGACAAGTTATTCAAGTACAAACGAGTAGATTGTTGCGAAATTTATGGGTGGACATCTGCGGGACGGACGCAGCGAGTTCCGGAGTCATCTATTCATTAATACGTTGTTCAAGTACGATACTAACCTGACTCATAATCTTATTGATTTTTTATGAATATTTATTTATTAGAACAAAACAAAAACAATACATCAACTTAACCAAACGTTCTCGGGACAAAAGTATGATTTTTTTATAAGTTTCCAGCTTCCTAAACATTTTTAAAACCTAAAATATGGTTTTGTATTTTTTTTTTTTTTAAATTTTATTGTTTAATTTTATAAAGGGGGGGCAATTGCCCCCCACTGTATCCGCCACTGTGTAACTGCGCTAGAATTGCTTCAAATTTCCTACAAATAACTACAAATCTAGATGTGAATTCAATTTTTGACTCGTTTTGTGTGAAAGAAATATTTTTCTTACCTTTTTTCGGCTTATCACTAGGTGCATCACTAAGTCGATCGCTGAGTAAATCTTGCGTCAACGTAGTGTCTCGCTCGTCATCAAATTTATTGTCTTCTGGAGCACTAATCGACAGTTTATGGCACACTTCAAATGCTTGGCCCACGGTGCGCACTACGCGCATCGCCTGACTCTGCAAGAAGAAATAAATAAATTAGAGTTTGTCTTGCATGACGTTTTTTAACCTTTTGATGGTAATGTTACCTCTAAGTCAGTATCTTCAAAACTAGGAGCACGTTGTACTCGATTAGCTACTACACTTATTCCTAATCCTGCGATACTTTGAATGCCTTTTCCTAGTGTGAATTTATTATCATTGGAATTATCAGTTTTACCAACATGCTTTAAAATTTTTTCGCATGACTTTATTGTATTTTGAAGTTTACCATGATTATTCGTATCATTATTTTTAACGTGACTATTTGCGATGGTGTTTTTATGTTTCTGTTTTCTGATATCCACCATGGGTTCTTTGAAGCTCAGTTTTTTTCTAGGCCGTTCCAGAGCTAAAGCGTCAGCGTCGCTTCTTCTATCCACACTAGGCTGGTCAACGCAAACCGTTGCGGGACGGAGCTTGTTAATGGGCAAAAAAACATTGTCGCTCTTATCGATGTCGGAGTCGAAGGACGATATCTGGATTTGAGGATTCGAACCGACCGACATTTGTTTGGCTAGGATTTTGGAACCTGGTTCACAATAAAATTATTTTTCAAGACAAAAATTGACAGTAAAATCCTTACCAGGTTTCTGATAGTTATTTTGACTATCTTTGGTCTGTTTGAAAAAATAATCCAAGGTGCATTGGGTCATGCTTTTCGGTAACGTTTTATTTTGATTTTCGTCTTTTTTGCTCTTCAACGCGTCGCCTATATTTAACAGTTTGTTTTTCGCACGCGACATCATGTCGTTGTTTTTCTTTTTGATTTCCCGATCCGCCAAATCCAAGCTGGAATGTCGCATTTTGCTAATTTTCAATTGATTTGGTTTCGTCACGCTCATCTGGATGACCAAATGGTGACAATATGATAATTATATTAGAATTATTCCAATGTGGATGAAATAATATAATATTATTTCACAAAGAACTGCGGTAATCGATATAGAAAAAGTTGTTAGTTGTGCAATCTATGAATCAGTATAATCGAAAGTACGATATCATGGGTACATAATTATTTTAGTTTGATCGTCAACATTTCCAGGTTGGCACACTTTAAAAGTCTTTGTGGGACGTCCGGTATAAGTTTGTTATCAATAACAATTTAAATTTTTTTCCAAACTTCAAAGGTAGGATATCATCAAAAATCTACAATTAAATTACATTTAGAATTCCGCAACGCTACGGCGGCGAATGTTTTTCTATTGTGAAATTGGCCCTTTGAATACAATAAATTTCCCTACTTTCATCGTCGAAAATGAAATTTGTTTTTCCAGGGTTTTAATTTGAATTTGAGCCAGAGGAAAATAGGACCGACTTTGAAAAGATGCAAATACTAAGTATTTAAAATATCAAAACAGAACAGACTTTCACCACTAGAAAAAAAAATCCATTAATTGGAAAAACACTAGAACAGAAAACACACAAATTAAAAGCACGATCGAATTATCGCCAGAGCGCAGCGTACCGATTAAGCTATAGAATCGTGAAAACTGTTTTGAAAATACAAAAGTGCTTCGCCTTGCAGGCGGTCCAATAACTGAAAAGCGAAAATCGGGCCGAGTACAAAACATCATCATTTTCGCGAAATTATTTATAGTATTTTCGGGAGGAAACTCTCAAACGATTTCTTTTTTAATTAGTATCCAACAAAAAACAGTCCAGGTGATAAATGATCGTGATTCGAGCAATTTTGTATTGTAGAACATTTTCCGATTTTACTGGTGTGCCAAATGTAAATAGATGGTTTGGATTAAGGTTTCAGTTTTTTGATTTAGGGGTTTCGTTTATTATTTTAAATTTAGACGGAGGTAGATTTTTCATTCTCTACCTATTGGCAAAATTTAAATTGACCAACGGAAAGAATGCCCTTTAATAGAGCGTCAAGACAACTAGGTATTTGATCCTTTATCGTATATTTTATTTCGGAACAAAAATTAGTTAATTTCCAAACAAAAATCAGGAGTGTGAACTCCGAAGTGCCAAAGTCCGTTTATTTCCATATACCCAAAAAATGTGAATGAACTATGTATTTAAATTGCTCGCAGCATCCGTGGCACGATATAAAAATAATCGTTTCAAATTCTGAGGAATTAGTTGGGTTGTAAGGCTATTTTGTTTGGGTTTGGAAAATCACGATCTTATGCTGGCAAAGGACCCTGCCCAAAGTATAGGTACGGATATTTTGTTTATGTCAGAATTGGCTGAATTTTGTATGTAATGTAGATCACGCCTTTCTGATTAAAAGTTACCACTGCACCAATCCTGAAAAATGATTCCTTTTTGAGAAAATCAATTTCATAAATAGCAAGTAAAACGCTTGAATATTGTAATCAAAGTACATACAAATAAGTGGATTATTGCGGAACTTATGGGTGGACCTCTGCGGGACGAGCACAGCGAGTTCCGCAGCCATCTACTCACCAATATACTGTTGAACTGTTCAAATGAGACACTCACCTGAAACGTGTAGTTTTTGAACTAATGAGAAAAATTTACAACTGAGTGAATCAGGTTAGTATTGTACTTGAACAACATATTGGTGAATAGATGGCTGGATCCACCCATAAGTTCCGCAACAATCCACTCGTTTGTACTTGAATAACTTGTCACAATATATTACTAGTTTGGTAAAGTAACATTACTAATTCCTGTTAAAAGGCAAATTGACAAAAAGTGGATAATCTTACAAATTCTGACTTTATATGTATAATAAGTTATTGTTCAAGTACAAATAAGTGGATTCTTGCGGAACTTATGGGTGGACCTCTACGGGACGAGCGCAGCGAGTTCCGCAGCCATCTACTCACCAATATACTGTTGAACTGTTCAAATAAGACACTCACCTGAAACGTGTAATTTTTAAACTAATGAGAATAACGCACATTTGACTGTGTCAGTTTAATATCGTAATTAAACAACATATTGATGAATAGATGGCTGCGGAACTCGCTGCGCTCGTCCCGCAGAGGTCCACCCATAAGTTCCGCAACAATCCACTTATTTGTACTTGAATAACTTATCACATTATGTTACTAGTTTGGTAAAGTAACATTACTAATTCCTGTTGAAAAGCAAATTGACAAAAAGTGAATAATCATAATTTTACAAATTTAGGGTGTCCAGATATTCGACCGACAACGCTTGACAGGTGACAGACCTCGCATTTTCATGAAAATTGAAATAGGAATATGCAACCTTAAAGTGCTTAGTTTTCAAGATACAGGGTGTCAAAGTTTTCCTTTTATTTTCGATTTTTATCAACTATTCCTCAATAAACCCACACAGCGATGCGAAAATACGTATCGGGGAGTTTGTTAGGACGAGAGATACAAATTCATTTACAGTTTTGATATCACTACTAGGGGGCGCCACCTGCGGCATATCAAAACTTTTTTCCAATTTGCTGCAACGATTTGAAAGTTAAAAAAATCGATTCTCCAACGTTTTTTACGTAAAAAAGGTGTACCTTGTTCAAGTCTCTAGAGGTAACCGTTTCCGAGATAACCTTCATTGAAATTTCGAATGTAACAGATTTAATGTAAGAATTTAGAGGAAAAAATTATTGATATTCGGGTAAGAACAAATAAAATAAACAAAATCAATTTGGCGAACCTTTGATGTTAAACTGATAGTGGCAACACTTGATTCATGTGTAAAAGATTATTAATTACTCATTAATTTCAATAATTTTTTCCTCTAAATTTTTACATTAAATCTGTTACATTGGAAATTTCAACGAAGGTTATCTCGGAAACGGTTACCTCTAGAGACTTGAACAAGGGACAACTTTTTTACGTAAAAAACGTTGGAGAATCGATTTTTTTAACATTCAAATCGTTGCAGCAAACTGGAAAAAAGTTTTGATATTTTTAAAAAATTCGATGTGCCGTAGGTAGCGCCCCCTAGTAGTGATATCAAAACCGTAAATGAATTTGTATTTCTCGACCTAACAAACCCCCCGATACGTAATTTCGCCTCGCTGTGTCGGTTTATTGAGGAATAGTTGACAAAAATCTAAAATAAAAGGAAAACTTTGACACCCTGTATCTTGAAAACGAAGCACTTTAAGGTTGCATATTCTTATCTCAATTTTCATGAAAATGCGAGGTCTGTCACCTGTCAAGCGTTGTCGGTCGAATATCCGGACACCCTGTATACACTGCCGAGCATAAAATTAGGGTCACTCCATACTTTGCAATTATTTTTGAAATTTTTAGTTTTTGCGTTTTTTTTTTGGGTGTATAGTTTACTAACTTTTGTTATTGGAAAGATACGTCATGAGAGATACCATGCATGGAATACACAAATATGCTGATAATGATTTTGAGGAATTTCGGCGAGGGACCCTTTTTTTATCAAACTTTAAACAAAATAACAACTTTTTTTAAATTCAAACAACCACTATAAAATCATCGCATAGAGTAGTAAACTATGCTACACCCATAAAAAAATCTCAAAAACTTGACATTTCAAAAATAATTGTGAATTATGGGTGACCCTAATTTTATGCTCGGCAGTGTATAATAAATTATTATTGTTCAAGTATATAAATAGGTAAGTTTTTGGCGTAGTAGTGTAGTGTGCTACGTATAGTAATTTTCCAGGATTGGTGCAATGGTAACTTTTAATCACAAAGGCGTGACCTACATTACGTACAAAATTCAGCCAATTCTGACATAAACACAATTTCCGTATACTTTGGGCAGGGTCCTTTCGCATTCTGGTAATTTGTCATGCTACAAAGCTCTGAGAAGAAGAGGAAAGCTCATTATACGCTTAAATTACCCCTCTCGATAAATTTTCACCAGACATGCGACAGGATTTTCCTTTTCGGAAAAGCACCGATGACGTCTTTTCAAATTAATTTTGTGCATTTTGGTAATCCTAAAATTTAATGATGCGTATCCAAGAAAATGAAAATTTTCACATTTGTTCTTATGGACATTGCCAAAACATTATTACAAAAAATTCAATAGCAGTTGGAGGAGTTGTAATCTTGACAGTGTCTATTCATTGCATTGTACAGAGAAAAAATTCTAATGTGAAAAACAATATTCTAATATTTGGCAGGTAAACTCCTATAAATCCCTTTTAATTAGCCAAATCAGCATGAGAAAAAATACAAAGAAACCCAATCTACAATAAACCAGCTTGATGTTTGAAAGGTTTACATTCAAACTTATTTTTAGCAACACTTTTTGTATTTTTTATTAATTTGTATCTACTTGAAAAGATGGCTCACTCTAAATAATTAGAAAATCAAGTTAGAAAATTTATTGTAACATCTGCTGCCGTCCAGCGGTTCTAATTTATTCAGAAAAGTAATTAGCGCTAATAAATTTATCAGCATTTAACACTTGAACATACACGACGAGATACAAAAGAATCATTTTTGAAACGAAAAATAACAATCGAGAAAAGTGTAGCGCAAAATATCGTCAGCATCATATTATTATGAAAATTGCCTAAGTCCAATTTTTTATGTAGTTTTTCTTCACAAAGGTTTTTTGCGTCTCCTTCAAAATTTACCTTTTTGGACTTAGGCAATTCATATGATGCCGACGATATGTTAAATTACTCTTACCTTTTTATGGGCTTTGAATACTGCACACTTGAACATATTAGAAGCACCATCTCTAGCAATGTAGCTGAATATCTTAAGATCCTGGGAGTCGTGCGAAACGTAAAATATTCGATAAATTGGATGATGAAGTATGTTTGATTTGTCATCGTTCCAGTGTCGTTTCTAAAAAAAATATATTCCATCGAATTATTGTATTTTTGATTGATAACGATTGATAACGAAAATGCAATTTTTGGGATAAGTCCAATTCACCTTTTTCTTTTTTCTTAGCGTAACTTTGACTCCGTCAACGGATACTTCTATGGTCACCTTTTTCTTTTTGATTCCTTTGGCTTTAAATTCATACTAAAAAAATTAAAATGATTAGAAAACTCGACAAATCCTAATAATTATTTTTCTCACTCGTATTCGACGCATGGCAGCTACAATTTCCACTCGACTTGTCGGTCTTGGAACGTCTAACATACCGATATACTGGAAAACAAAAAATTTTTGAATTAGTACCCACTTCACTAATTTTGATTGAAAAAAACATTGAAACATGCAGTGTGTGACAAGCATAAGTAAAATCGCAACACGTATACAAGTAGTTAGTACGCCTTTTGTTTATTGATGGTCTATATGAGGAAAAGCGTAATTTAATAGGTTTACGTAGGTACTTCCTAGAAATATTTGAGGGCAAGTTATGCTTTGAACACAGTTTCTTTGAACTTCCAAAATAATTGGTGCCTGAACCATGAAAAGGTAATAATAATTCGACCGGAAATCTATGAAAATTGTCGACAGAGACACAGCTTGCTATAATAGTTAATAGTGACTTGCCACGCCAGATATGCTCATTGCCACATGCAAATTTGAAAAAAAACCTAAAAAAAATATTTTCGACGAGGATGGGATTCGAACCCACGCGGGCAGAGCCCATTGGATTAGCAGTCCAACGCCTTAACCACTCGGCCACCTCGTCTGACGATTGAAGATGATAGGACCACCTATTTCCACAAAATACGAATGAGCCTTAAATTAAAAATTAGTCTTCCCCTATATTATTGAACGTCAGGGTCTAGAACCCCTAGAGAGATTTTTTTGTGTAGTTTGATTAGGGTCAGTCAAGTTAGCCCCCCACACTAGAGTTTTTTAAATGAAAGATATCCCATAATTTTACTCCACCAATAATAATTTTTGCTACACTACAAGCATCACTACCTATGTGAGGTCTATAAACCTAGCAGTCCCAAGGTGGAAAAAACTTCGGAAACTATATAATAATTAGGTACTAATTAGGGCCTCTAATTAAAATTTAGGTACTCCTTTAGTTTTTGAGAAAATCAAAAAAAAACTAAGGAACTGCTAGGTTTATAAAAACTAGCAGTCCCCTATGGAAAAAAATTATTTTCAAATTTTTTCTTTGTATCAGAATTAGGTGCTTTTTAGGTGCTCCTAAATAGTCGAAGAAAAAATAAAATTGATTAATTATTAACTGAGTTACAGAATTTTTTTTAATTATTAGGGGACTGCTGGCTTCACGTTTACACGTTGGTGTGTAAGAATGGGAAAAAACTTCGGGATCAATATAATAATTAGGTGCTTTTTAGGTGCTTATTAGGGCCTCTAATTAAAAATTAGGTGCTCCTCTAGTTTTTGAGAAAATCAAAAAAAAAATAAGGGATTGCCAGGTTTATGAAAACTAGTAATCCCCTAATATTTAAAAAAAATATGTAACTCAGTTAATAATTAATCAATTCTATTTTTTCTTCGACTATTTAGGACCATCTAAAAAGCACCTAATTCTGATACAAAAGAAAAATTTGAAAAAAAGATTTTTTAGCATAGGGGACAGCTAGCTTTCATAAACCTAGCAGTCCCTTAGGTTTTTTCTTGATTTTCTCAAAAACTAGAGGAGCACCTAATTTTTAATTAGAGGCCCTAATAAGCACCTAAAAAGCACCTAATTATTATATAGATCCCGCAGTTTTTTTCCATTCTTACACACCAACATGTAAACGTAAAGTCAGCAGTCCTATAATAATTTAAAAAAAATCTGTAACTTGGTTAATAATTAATCAATTCTATATTTTCTTCGACTGTTTGGGAGCACCTAAAAAGCACCTAATTCTGATACAAAAGGAATTTTTGAAAAAATATTTTTTACTTTAGTGGACTACTAGCTTTCATAAACCAGGCAATCCCTTATAGTTTTTTTTGATTTTCTCAAAAACTAGCGGAGCACCTAATTTTTAATTAGAGGCCCTAATTAGCACCTAAAAAGCACCTAAATATTGTCACAACTACCCGCTTTACGGGGGTGACATGGGGGGTTTGTAGCTTTGGGGGTAGATGGAGAGAAACTCGCTCAGGTTATATAAAAATATATGCTATATATTTTCCCAAATATAACCTTACATGTATGCTAATTCTATAAGGTACATGACCCTTCGTACACTGGGGTCCTTATAGGGGGCCACACATCAATTCTGCTTGGGGGACTGTAGATAAGTTTATCGTCACCCTTATGCCTTGTCCAGAGGGGCGTTCCCAACGAGAGGTAATTGCACTGGACAACGATAAGGCTGAAGATACCCAGAGGGGCGTTCCCAACGAGAGGTACTTGCACTGGGGAGACTTAATTCCAGAGGGGCTTTTCCAACGAGAGGTACTTGCACTGGTTTAAGTCTACCTTTGCTGCGGCTTGCAGCGCAATTTATATTAATTTATTGCTGAATTGCAATAAATATTCGATCGAATCGGCAATTAAATTAATAAGGTTGAATACCGGGTCCTCCTTTCCCAAGCAGCTAGTTGACAATATTATATAGATGCCGAAGTTTTTTTGCCATTCTGACACACCAACATGTAAACGTAAAGCCAGCAGTCCCCTAATAATTAAAAAAAAATCTGGAACTCAGTTAATAATTAATCAATCCTATTTTTTCTTCGACTATTTAGGAGCACCTAAAAAGCACCTAATTCTGATACAAAAGAAAATTTTGGAAAAATATTTTTCACTATAGGGGACTACTAACTTTCATAAACCTAGCAAACCCTTAGTTTTTTTTGATTTTCTCAAAAACTAGAGGAGCACCTAATTTTTAATTAGAGGCCCTAATTAGCACCTAAAAAGCACCTAATTATTATATAGATCCCGAAGTTTTTTTTCCATTCTGACACACCAACATGTAAACGTAAAGCCAGCAGTCCCCTAATAATTAAAAAAAAATCTGGAACTCAGTTAATAATTAATCAATCCTATTTTTTCTTGGACTATTTAGGAGCACCTAAAAAGCACCTAATTCTGATACAAAAGAAAATTTTGGAAAAATATTTTTCACTATAGGGGACTACTAGCTTTCATAAACCTAGCAAACCCTTAGTTTTTTTTGATTTTCTCAAAAACTAGAGGAGCACCTAATTTTTAATTAGAGGTCCTAATAAGCACCTAAAAAGCACCTAATTATTATATAGATCCAGAAGTTTTTTTTCATTCTTACACACCAACATGTAAACGTAAAGCCAGCAGTCCCCTAATAATTAAAAAAAAATCTGTAACTCGGTTAATATTTAATCAATCCTATTTTTTCTTCGACAGTTTGGGAGCACCTAAAAAGCACCTAATTCTGATACAAAAGGAATTTTTGAAAAAATATTTTTTACTATAGGGGACTACTAGCTTTCATAAACCTAGCAATCCCTTAGTTTTTTTTGATTTTCTCAAAAACTAGAGGAGCACCTAATTTTCAATTAGAGGCCCTAATTAGCACCTAGAAAGCACCTAATTATTATATAAATCCCGAATTTTTTTTGCCATTCTGACACACCAACATGTAAACGTAAAGCCAGCAGTCCCCTAATAATTAAAAAAAAATCTGTAACTCAGTTAATAATTAATCAATTCTATATTTTCTTCGACTGTTTGGGAACACCTAAAAAGCACCTAATTCTGATACAAAAGGAATTTTTGAAAAAATATTTTTTACTATAGGGAACTACTAGCTTTCATAAACATAGCATTCCCTTAGTTTTTTTTGATTTTCTCAAAAACTAGAGGAGCACCTAATTTTTAATTAGAGGCCTTAATAAGCACCTAAAAAGCACCTAATTATTATATAGATCCCGAAGTTTTTTTCCATTCTTACACACCAACGTGTAAACGTAAAGCCAGCAGTCCCCTAATAATTAAAAAAAAATCTGTAACTCGGTTAATATTTAATCAATCCTATTTTTTCTTCAACTATTTAGGAGCACCTAAAAAGCACCTAATTCTGATACAAAAGAAAATTTTGGAAAAATATTTTTCACTATAGGGGACTACTAACTTTCATAAACCTAGCAAACCCTTAGTTTTTTTTGATTTTCTCAAAAACTAGAGGAGCACCTAATTTTTAATTAGAGGTCCTAATAAGCACCTAAAAAGCACCTAATTATTATATAGATCCAGAAGTTTTTTTTCATTCTTACACACCAACATGTAAACGTAAAGCCAGCAGTCCCCTAATAATTAAAAAAAAATCTGGAACTCAGTTAATAATTAATCAATCCTATTTTTTCTTCGACTATTTAGGAGCACCTAAAAAGCACCTAATTCTGATACAAAAGAAAATTTTGGAAAAATATTTTTCACTATAGGGGACTACTAGCAGTCCCTTAGTTTTTTTTTGATTTTCTCGAAAACTAGAGCAGCAGTCTTATAATTAAAAAAAAATCTGTTAATAATTAATCAATTCTATTTTTTCTTGGACTATTTAGGAGCACCTAAAAAGTACCTAATTCTCATACGAAGAAAAAACTTGAAAAAATATTTTTACTATAGGGGACTGATAGCTTTTATAAACCTAGCAGTCCCTTAGTTTTTTTTTTATTTTCTCAAAAACTAACGGAGCACCTTATTTTTAATTAGAGGCCCTAATTAGCACCTAAAAAGCACCTAATTATTATATAACTCCCGAAGTTTTTTTCCACCTTGGGACTGCTAGGTTTATGGACCTGTATATTATTGAACTTCAGGGTCTAGAACCCCTAGAGAGATTTTTTTGTGTAGTTTGATTAGGGTCAGTGAAGTTAGCCCTCCACACTGGAGTTTTTTAAATGAAAGATATTCCATAATTTTAGTCCACCAATAATAATTTTTGCTACACTACACTACCCTAGTGAAAATTTCGAAGTTTTTTTATGCTCATTTCATTCTCTGAGTAAAATTTGTGGATCAAAATTATAGGATATGCTTCATCCAAAAAAATTCAGTGGGGGGAGAGCTAACTTAACTGACCCATTTGATCAACGGTAAAACGGTACCTTTTCAATACCTTCGTACACTGTTCTTACATCTGCTGTGTTTCATCGCTAAAATGCAATTATTCTCCTATCTTTTCAAACCTCGTTACTGTTAAAGCACGTACCGAATGCCCTAACTTTATGGTTCAACTTCTCTGATTAGACAAACTCTCGAAATTTTTCATTTTCATAATTAACCACTCATAATT